GGGTATTTTGTTAAATTAATTTAAAGGGAGCCCCAAAACTGGTTCATTTTGAGCCCCACTACATGAAAGTTTCTTAATACGAGTTGCAATAGTCTGTTCATCTTTACATGGAGTTCTATTGCATCCCGTATTGCTGGTATTTCCCGTTTTGCTGTGGTCAGGAGATTTTCAGTTTTCCACCATGACAAATCTTTCTTGGGAGAGAGCAGTAAAGAGAAGACAAAGAAGGAGAGGGGGAGGCAAGCAATACTACTAACTCACACTTATCACACCTTTTACACATCAAGTAAAAGTTACTGCCACTGAGAAATAAAAATACCCCTTACATACATTTTCCCAGCAAAAAATAACCATTCATTTCTGTGTATATTTGTCCGTTGAATAGCATTACTTGCACATCATGCATAATGAAGGTGTTTTCTTTATGTAGACTACATGCTACGACTATGGTATTCAGGAAATGTAGACAACAGCAACCTATCATACCAGTCTAGTGTCTCTCATACCAACTGGCCAGGGAAGGGAGATCAGAATAACAAGAGAGGAAGCATGACCAGCAAACAAAATTGGTAAAGATTTGTCATGGTGGATAATAGGGGGACAAACACACCAAAACTTTCCAGTACCTCTTTCAGTCTCTGTGCTTCCAACTCAGCATTCCTTTGACGTTCCATCTCTTCGAGCATCTGCTGTTCCATGATTTTTTTGGCTTCTTCCACGCGCCGGAGCACCTCGCGTTCGATCTCGTCTTTCCGCTTTTCTAGCTCCTCTTCTACGCGCTTTGCAACCATCTCCTCCACTCTCTTGGCTACCTCTTCTTCAACAAGCCTGGCCTCGATTTCTTGTTGCCGTCTGCAAAAAAGGTTGGAAGGAAACAGTCAACTCAGAGCAAAAAATATGGCCATGATGACAATACTCTCTTGCCAGCCTTTTCTTCAGTTGTCAGTACTCCATTGTATAACATTCAGATTTATTGATCCATACTATGAAAATGAAGTGTAAACAACTTACCTTACAAGTACTTCACAAGAATGTGAAATTTAAGTCGACCGAGAAAAATACTTGAGACTGGCTTCTTGAGATTGGCACCCCAAATTATGTGTCAAAGCAAATTTTCGTCAGACAGCACTAAAAACTGACTGTTTTAAACAATACACTGGCTGCCATATCATAATTTATCCAGTAGCAATGATAACGTTTGTACTTTGCTCCCGGTTGACAGAGTTGATAAAAATAAAGTTGCCCCTCGGGGCCCCCAATATTTCTTATCCCAAGACTAATGTCGTAATGATTTCTTTCCTGTTAAAGATTTGTGGCTCAAATCGACTTATATCTCATTTTCCTGAAGTCCAAAAATCGATAACTGATGCAGGAAATAGCAACAAAATCGGATTATCGTGCTATCAGCAGCACATCGGTGAAATCGGTGAAATGATTACAGATAATTTTTACAGCTGGGCGTACGTTTATGTATTTTTTTCTTCAACCTTGAAAGGTATACATCACTAACATCAGTATGCATCTGCATGCACTGATATGTGGTTTTTCCTCAACATTACAACACAAACAGCACAACAAAATACTGGAACACTGGCAAGGCTCTGTCGGTTGGTATGCTTTCGAAAAAATTCTATACAAAATCGAACATAACATCAGATCTAAAAGGTTTTTTTTTTCGCAACCACACCCCACTGTACTCAAATACAGTAACCTATCGATAGACAATTATGATAAAAGACTGATGGTTACATTTTCCTCTGCCGTTCTAACTCGGCCAGTCTTTCTTCTTCCTCCTTTCTTCTGCGTTCCTCGGATGGCGTCCGCCGCTTGATGATCCGACCAAAGATGTCCACCCTCTCGTCCGGGCTCGAACTCCGCGACCGCCGCGGAACGGGCGATCTGGAGCGGACCCGGGACGGCCGCTTGCTCCCGCGGTGTGAGTCCCTCTCCCGTTCGCGCCTCTCCCGTGAGCGGGATCTGTGTTTTCTGTCCTTCGATCGGGACCGGTCGCGGCTTCGCCTCTTGTGTTTGGAGTGCTTCTTGTGCTTGGAGCCAGGGGTCCCGCTGCGACTCCGCGAACGCGGCATTTTCGCGACTTTCTCCTCGAATCTTCCCGTGGTGGTTCCTCAAAATACAACGATTTACGTTTGGATGACAAGATGTGGTAATCTGATCGAATGATACGATCGTATTTGCGGATTTTTACGTGGAGATTTTTACGTGGAAAATTCCTTACGTCCGCAAAAATGGCGACCTTTCTTCTTCGCTCTCCGCCTACGTCACGGAAAATTTAGGATCTATCCCAGCTACCATTGCGCATGACCTCACGGTCACATCGGACTATACCATAATCGATTCGAGAAAGGGAGGTTTCTTGCTAGAATATATATATGATGCATTTTGATTGAATCAGTGCTTCATAATGAGAAATAATGAGCTAAGACGCGATCTTGCAATTACATATCGTCACGCCTTTTTTCAATTAAGGAAGGGCATAGTGCTTTGCCTTTTATAGCGATAGAAGTGATGACTAGAAGTCTTATTTGTAATCATGATTCCCAAGGGAGTGTTGAAATAACAGGTGGTTACTTTTTAATAACTCGCCTAAAAGGAACCGCGTTCTGTGTCTTCTATGAAGTCTAACATGTGGTCTTGATCTAGCCAAATCATGCTAATTCCATGAACAAAAGAAATCAGACAACTATTTCAAATGAGACATCAAGCCTTTTATGTAGAATAAACTCTCCAGTGATTTATTTTCTTCATCAAAATACTACATTCATATTATTTTTGACAAATCAGAAATATACAGAAAATAGAGCTTGTCTTGGTGACGAAAATAACTTTGTGCGCAATATACACAATATCATAACATCAGATGAGAAAGTGGAAATGTACAACTGCTGCAAACATTAATTCTCGAAAGGTCTGAGGTTCTATAAAAATCCATTGTGACACAAACTACTGTTACATAGAGTTCATAGATTCATCTGCATTCTGAAATTCTGTTTCACTCTAGACTCAAAAGCTGTTCACCATTTTTCAAGTTTTTCAAGTAACATGCTGTTGCATAGTTTAATTCCTAAGGCACGCCTGGTAACTTTTTAATTGACAGTATACAGTGACATAGATAGTGATACCACACCATGTTGTTTAAAACATTGTTTTGACGACACAATACTTGACACGAAAGAACATGTCAGTTTTAAAACATTAGGTTCATAACCCACCAACAATTAATGCATACTTTCAATAATACCATGGAGTTAGAATCTCCTTCTAACTCCATGATAATACAGATCCCAAACAAAATTCCCACAAAATGCTTCAAGCAAATAAAAAAACACTTTAATTCAGTCAAACTTGGCAGTTTCTCTTCAAAACTTCCACAAAGAAACAAAACCAAAGTGAAAGTGTTCAAATTCAGCTTCATGTTGCTTTGAATGCATCATTCTAAACAATTCCTATTTTTGTAACGAGTCTGAAACTAGTGGTCCAAACTCATGAGAAGTGCAGATCCTCTCTTGACCCAGTGGTCTGACGGCATGGCTCCAGTCTTCAGGTCCACAGCAACAACGAAGGACGCCCGCCCGGTGGCACCAGCACGGTTGGGGAAGTAGTAACACGGGCATGAATAGATACCTGCAAGAACGTGGAACAACCTCAAGTTAGCTTAGTCACTGTGTGACATGCAACTAAAAGGGACAGTCAGATACTTTTTTCTTCAAATATCATTCTCATCACTTGCATAGAAAACAAATAATCAAAGGACATGTACATCTACAACTAGATGAACTGGAAAAAATAGATATATAAGAAAAAAAAAATCAGACCACTACATGTATAAGCTGTTTATGCTTTTGCATTGATTATTTTATCTGATGTCAATTTACTAAAGAATTGCAAACCATTTCCTTTCATTAGATTTTAAATCAGAGAAGGTTTTCTCACTTTTCCTGGTCTTCTTTTTTCATTAAATTTCAAAACATTGAAGGTTTTTCTTACCTTCTGTTGCTCTTATTTTAATTCTCATCATATTTCAAAACATAGAATTTTTTTTTTACCTTTGCTGCTCTTCTTTTTGTTCTCCACAGGTTTGAAGTGGATGGTTGGGATGGAACAGACCAGCTGCATGGGGTCAGCCTCAATCAGACACGCGTTCTTCTTGTCCCAGCCAGCTCCCTCCAGGAACAGACCTTTCACCCACACACCATCCTGTACACAACATCAACATTATATCAACATAGGAAAATACAAGCTGTGTCATTGAAGAGTGTTACCTTCAAGTCTAGATTGTTTAATGACAAGAGCAACTGTGTTGATGTTTGAATCTGCCCTTTAGGACAAGTAGATCATCAGATGTAGCAGAGATTGGTTGTAGATGGAAAGAGTTCACAATGGTTGACAATAGACCATCCACACAGAAGCAAACATACCTGTCCTTGGTGCTAAATGCCATCCACACAGAAGCAAACATTTATTTATTAAGATTTACCACATTTGTGGAAGGATTGACATAACAGGTGACTATCACCTTTTCAAAGATGTCAACCCCGAGACCAGACTGTAAGGTTTGAACCACCCACACCGGGAAGGTCCCCTACTCTTTTCGATAAGTGCGGTGGGTTCTTTAACGTGCGTGGGGTGTGGCTCTCCCAAACACGGGACCTCCATTTAACGTCCTATCCGAGGGACGTCCCTAGCCGAAGCTAAGTACTCATTTTCACCTGAGTGAAGTGAAGTGAGGAAAGTCGTGTAAAGTACCTTTCCCAACATACCTGTCCTTGGTGCTAAATGCCATCCACACGCAGGCAAACACACCTATTCTTGGTCTAAACACCATCTACACACAGATAAATATACCTGTCCTTGGTGCTGAAGACCATCCAGACCAGAGACAATGGAAAACAATTCATTATGACATCTAGTGACTGAGATGTGACACAAAGACTGAGATGTGACACAAAGATGTCACAATGAATGTGTCAAGTACCTTTGGAGCCCCCGTGATGTTGTTGTCATCCACAGTTGACACCACAAACTCCCAGGACAGGGAGTCGACCGACACACTGTTCTGCCTCGCTGACGTCTGCAGGACGGCGGTGAGGAAGCCGGTGGGGAAGGTGAAGCCGGCCATCCAGAAGATGACAGGCGGGTGGGCCGTCTCCGCCCACTTGGCAAACTGTTCCACCCTCTGGATCAGGTCTCGGGTCCACGCTGCCAGAGGCTTCATGGAGGGGTAGGCCTGAAGAGAAGATTGAAATGTTATGTCTTAGTTGTTTGATTCGTTATATGTAACATTCTTCAGATATTTTTGCACAGGTTCTGTGCAGATATTTCATGTTATTTAAACACTGGAGTACAGGCTCATGTACATGACCAAATAAATGTAATGTTACAGGGACGCCAAAAAACAGTTACTCAAGCAACTGGATATGATTTTGAAAACGTCAGACGTTTCAGCTAGTATCCACTAGCTTTCGTCAGTGACTGAGAGACCAGAGGGGAAAACAGGTTTATAAGCACAACCTATTGATTGATATGCAAATAAAGTGAAGACAAATTTTTTTACAGGGAACTGAATTTCTAAAATTCAAAAGTTGACAAAACAGGTGTCTAAATAATGATTTCTTTATGATGATGAAGACATAAAAGGCTAAGATACAAATTATGAAGACAAGGCCATAAAAATAAAACTCTGTACTATTACATTGCTAATAGGAATACAACAAAAAGTTATGAAAAGGAAAATTAGGCTGATATCTTTGGATTACTTGTTGAATATTTTACTCAATGCATGTCAAACTCATAGTACGGATGTCAATATTACTGTTAGATGATGAAATGTCCTGTGGATTACTTACAAATTCCCACATCGGCGGCACAGTGGCAGCAAAGATGCAGTTGAAGGTCTCTTCAAGGTCGCTGGACATCACCACAATGCCCTTGATTCCCTTCTCAAGTTCAACCAGAGACTTACGCATGACCTCCAACAGGGCATTGTACCGTTGGATTTCCTGAAACAGAAATTGGTTTACTTTCTTAGCATTTTAATTCTCACATAAATACTAGTAGTAGGCAAGTGAATACTATTGTTGAACTTTACTATACAGACTTGGATTTAACTATTGTTTACTATATATATCCAAGAACTGTATCACTAGACTCTGAGTCATTTCATTTCCCTTTTAATATTGTGTTATGTCATATACTTAAATATTCTGTAAGGGCCCATACAGCTGCTGATGAATAGTACAGACAAACCTGTATTCCATTTAATATTATGTTATTGACGTTTAACATTAAAATCACCACCAGTCTTCAGGCATAAAATAATGCTTTTCAGACTTTGTCTGTTTCATAAGATAGATGTCTGGTTTGATTCATCTACATCTGCGTGAGGAGGTTTGAAAGCCCTACCTGTAGCAGGACGACGTTGAGAGGTGAGTTGTCTCCATCCAGGATCTTGGCTGTGCCCTCATAGTCGATGTTCTCTGGAACCTTCTGAAGAACATCAGCTGCAAGCTGGAGAACCTACAGGAGTAGACAAGAATGGGATTCTGTCATACATCTGAGGACTTCTATGTTCAGAATCAGGAACTCAGAATAATGCAACATTCAGGCATAATTCATATGGCATCATTAGCCTGGTTACCAGTCCTACATCCTCTCCTCACTATTTGTGGAGGGGGTGTAGGACTCGGCAGCTATAATAGGTCTGGTAACCAGGCTATAGCATCATCCCTAAAAGTTACCAAGCTATAACAACACCTGGAGTTAGATGTGCAATGGTTAGGTGGCACAGATTGTTTGATAGCCCGAGAAGCAGGACCTGGTATGTTACTACACTGAAGGATGGTCATGTACTGAATAGACAATACAGAATGATGAAGATCTCCATTTTTGGAACATAAAGAAAGAAACAGCTTTTGTTTTTGTAGTGTATTTCAGCCCACATATCATACCACAAATTTCACATGAATTCCTTACCTTGTCTTCTTTGCTCTCTCCCTTTCCAGCAGCAGACACTTGTGGCACCAGTGACAGCAGAGTTTCAAACAGTGTGCGTGTCTCTGTGATCTGGCTGGCAATGTCAGCGTTTGGATGCTGTCCAAAAGCCTCGGGGTGGTCCACACCAGGTAACATGCTGATGTACTCCTTGTAGGTCTGCAGAGGGCCGTCCTTAGGGATGTAGTAAGTGGGAAGGCTGGACAACCTGGCAGCAAAGCGCAAGATTCAGATTTTATTTCTGATGACATAGCAGGTACACAAATAAATCTGAAATGCATCATTGATCACAAAGCCACCGTTAAAATTCAAGTATATACTTCATAATACAATTTTTTTTCCGAAATAACATTTGGAAACTACAGATGGAGTGTTAAAATTATATGCGTAAATACGACCTCATATGAGACGTTCTGTGGAAGTGCTATGCACAATACATTACAGGATTCGTGCAGGTGCTTGGAAAATACATAGTGCTGATTAAGTGCTAAAATATGTTAAAGACAAAGACTGACTTGTAGAATGGAGCGGACACGGCGTCGTCTTTGAAGAAGTCCATGATGTAGGTCATGAGTAGCCTGCGGTCCCAGTCGTCGGTGATGTGGCCTCCGTAGTTCACTCCTGCGATCAGGTACTTCAGGGCATCCCACGGAGTCTCATCATACTCATCCAGGTAGATACTCAGCAGATTCTCAGACACCTAAAATATGTGACAAGACTTTAATTAGTAGGCTTGCTAACATAGTGATATATGGCATGGTAATGTCTACATCGATAGCAGTTAGTGAGTGAGTGTGAACAAATCTATTTCAGATGGTTCATAATTACCATTATGGTAAATGCAACTTCTTTGACAAAAATTCAAAAATTAGAAAAAATATCAATTTGTTTCCACTCAAACACATGTTAAAGGATTGCTGTTGTTAACTTTACACAAACCACTGGCACTGTCCATGGTACTGAAACCACATGGTCAATGTGAAGACTGTTGAGAATACTAGTAGTCCATGACATACTGTACTTTAATCTTTTCTTCAGGATATTTCAAGACTTTAAATATTCATTACAGACTGTAAATAAGAAAAAAGAAGTCTGTTTTTGCCATTCCAGAACTAGTAAACAAAATGTAGATGGCTGCAGTGCATATGCATAAAAAGTAAGGCTAGCTGACTCAAAGGTTCAATACAATGCTGTACGTAGATCTCACCTCAAAGTCAGAGTCGTTGAAGCCATAGATGATGTTCCAGCCCAGCTGAAGGAACTTGCGGCGCTCCAGGAGGATGGAGTGGAAGAAGCAGAGCCCAAACAGCAGCTTCTTGTACTTGTCCTGCTTGTGGCAGCGAGAAAACTGCTGCTCTGTGATCAGGTTGTACAGACGCTTCATGTTGGCCTTCAGACCCTGGAGAAAGGATAGAAGCAAAAATTTCAGTAAAATAGTCCCATGCCTGGCATTTTAATGTTATCTTAGTCTGTATCGACAGAGCAATATTCATATGACCCATTTATCATGCCTTTTGTGTTTGGAGAAGAAACTGAGAAAAAACAATAATACGTTTTCCTTCGGTAAACAAAACAAAAAAGTGTTCCTCGTACCTTTGGAGGTTCGGTGGTCATCTTGATGCCGGCCTGCAGGATGGAGATGGGGAAGTCAGGATGCGGGCTGGAGCTGAGCCACAGGCGGAAGTCAGGGTGGGGCTCCTCAATCTGCAGCTGTTCCACCAGCTTGTCCAGCTGCGGCATCCAGCTGAGCGACAGGTGGCAGTTGGCCAGGAACACCCAGTTGCCCTGGACAGGGGATGGGTGATTATATGTCATGTACATGTATTTTAATCTAATGTGGTTGAGGGCTGCATACTTGTGCACTTTGCAAATAAATTTACTGTTTCAATTGTTTGGAGTCAGTCCTTGAACTTCGCACTAAACCAAGAGCCTCCTGTGATGTGTTAAATGAGTGCAAGATAACAGATTATTGACGTACATAGTACATGTTGTGTACTTGCATAACACTAAAAATCCTGTGAAAGCAACTTAGCTGTGGTAAAGGACAGTACCGGTATTGGCTGCAACTCCTTGATACAGCTATATATGTAACATGGCTGATTTAACTCATTACCAAACAAATTATCCAAGAAAGGCAAAAGTAATCTATTGGGTATATCAAGCTTTATAATTGAAAGAAAATAGGAGAAAATATGCTATACGTACAATGTAGTTTAAGCAATACGGCTTTGGAAGTGAAGTTTACCTCTCTGACTCCTTCCTTGATCATCCTGGTAGCGATGGGAGCCTGTCCCTGACCCAGAGACAGGGCATGGAACCTGCTGGCCATGCCAGACTGTTCAGCCAGCTGGAGAAGGCTGCTGGTCGGGTCCTGAAAACAACATCCAAAATCATCAGATATGTGGAACTGACATCTTTTACACAGCTGTATTCCCTCAGTAGTATATGTATATAACTGTCCTTGGTGCTAAATGTCATCCACACACAGGTAAATGTACCTGTCCTTGGTGCTGAACACTATCAACATATAAACAAATATTCCTGTCCTTGGTACTGAACACCATCCACACACAAGTAAACACACCTGTCCTTGGTGCTGAACACCATCATACATGGGCAAACACACCTGTCCTTGGTGCCATCCACACATATGCAAACAGGCCATACACAACACACATGCACAGTTCCACACAAAGTGCAAGGTTAGGTTGTATCTGACTCCACGAAGCAAAAGGTACCAAGAAAAACAACAGCCCAAACAGAACCCACCACTCCAGGGGAAAGCACAAAGATGAGGGGAGTCTTGGTGGTGGAGTCGTCCACCACTGCTTTCATGTCCAGAACAGGCGGCTCCACGAACTTGGACCCCAGGTTGTTCACAATGAACGAGGTCACGCAGAAGGAGACGCGGTCGGGACGGAGGGAGCGGACGATCAACATACGCTGCAACTCATTACAGGCATTGTCCCATTCACCTGTAGGGAAACAGTGCAAGTAGAGTCAAATAATCCATTCAACATCATCATCATATGACAGAAATAAATGAAAAATGTACTATTTATTATTGCTTCCCAGCTTCACCTATCCCTTTTTCAGTGCTACAAATTTCCATCTCTCTTTGACCTGCTTATCTTGTGAGATAGGGGGTTTTGTGCTCACTCCTAGCACAAATTTTGACCATAAATATGGAGAACATATTGAAGCCTTTGATAAAACTAATATTCAATAAGACTTTTAGCTGGAACCAAAGCTTGGTGGTACACATGTAATGCATTTGATGTTAATTACTAGGCACTGTTCATGAACCTTGGGTGTGTTATAGTTAAGGGCTGTTACACTTGACTCATTTGATACAGATATAGATGCCAACATCCATATCCATTTGCCTACTATACACATGAAGAAGTCTGTGCCACGTTTACCAGGTAGTGGTGACCTCTCAGGCTCGGAGGCTGTGTACCAGATGTGCCAGTCACGTGGGTACTGCTCAAAGGACGTCATGATCCCATGGAAGTTGGTGAGTCTGTAAGGAATGAAGTAACTCATGATTACTTTTATTAGCTATGGACCAAGCACAAGAAGAATAGACAATATAAAAAACACCCAAGCCCCATATGGCCCAGTCCATTGCTTATTACATGTACTAGGTTGGAAAAGAACACTTTTGTTAATATGAATGAACTTTATTGCTCGACAAATGTACATGGTACAATGTGTGGCAGTAAGACAACAATACTACAAAACTAAAGTATCTGATAATCTCAGAGTTCTTACAGTAACTGCAAACTACTATTGATACAATATATTACTTACAATATGGTCATACTAGTATACTGATAATTTCGTCTCACTTATGGAAGACAAGCAATGTCAAATATTCTCCTTTTCCTTGACATGATAAGGAGCATTTAAATATTAAATCTATGCTTTTATATGATAAGAAATGAGGAATCCAACTGACTTGTCGAGTTCAGTGATGTTGTCCCAGGAAGAGTCCACTAGCCAGGTTGTGCAGGGGTTGTCCATCTGGTCAGCACGGTCCATCACCTGCACACACACAATGACTTTCAGTTATTGATTCAAACTTCATGGCAGCTTTGACTCACTGTTGAAGGTTTACATCATTATCAATCTTAATCAGATTCTGTATAACACCCTTTGGAGTGGGACAACAGCTTTGCAAGCATTTGGATTCGTTACAGAATAAGAGAAAAGAGTCATGCTAACTTGACCTGTGCTCTATTTACATAATACATTTTTGTTTTAACTGAAGGCTGGCGAATGATTGATTAGTAAGGGAGTGAAAAATAAAAGTTGCCTAGTTGAAATTGTGGATGTTTTCAAAAGGAAAATTATAGGAAAGAATGATTTGCACAATCAGGACCAAAAAAGTAAATGATGACTACATTGAGACCATCTAAATCATGGTTACCGGTAGTTGAAGTGACACCTGTGTTCACTCGGGCACTTAAGTGTTCACCTATATGTTCACACCTGTTTTTTTCACACCTGTGTGTTCACACCAGTCCTGTGTATTCAGACCTATGTATTCACACCTGTGTGTTCACCTGAACACCAACATGTACATCTTACCATGCTCCTCCTTCTGTACTTGGACCTATTCCTTTTAATGACCTTTATAAGCATGTGTTGACAGAGGGAAAGGAAGTATGGATGAACAGTCACATTTTAGTACTTCATTGCAGTTCTAAAGCAGTAAGCATTAGCTAATCATTAGGCAAAACTGTGCATAACAGTATCTATTTTAGACTCATTTTCAAACTGTTGAGGGAAGTCTTTTGATGTGGATGGAAAAGGCGATTGACACTAAAGTTCACATTAGCCTGGTTACCAAACCTATTATAGCTCCCGAGTCCTACATCCTATTTGCGGAGAGGATGTAGGACTCAGGAGCTATAATAGGTTTGGTAACCAAGCTAAGTTCACATATCTTGAATGGCACTTCATACAATGGACTTAGCCCTTATTTTCAGCAACTGCACATAAGAAAACAGTACAATATTACTGACCACTCCGCCCCTGAGGAAGAAGTTGTACTCGTCCATGTTGAGTTTTCCAGCATTCTCCAGGATCTTGGCGCACATCTGGAAGGAGAAGAGCAGCTTGTGCCGCTCAAACAAACCTCGACACGTGTACCTGAAAAAAAAAGTAGCACAGTTAAAAAAAGTTTAACTTTAATCTAGCAAAATGTACTAATCAGAAGAATATAACCTATAAGAAAGTAGAAGTAAAGGTTTTCAAGATCTGCTCTTTCACCAAAAGGTACACGTATCCATTACCATCAATCACAGAATTTAGATTATTTTGTTAAGTCCAAAACTGATCTTGAAGAGATTCATTTGACTGGTCTTACTATGAGTACAATATCATCTGTACTTGGTTATGGTGGGGAGAAGGGTCAAAGTTTTTTTACTACTCGTCTGGAACAGGTCAATGCTGAAACTACAATAATGAATCTCTGCACTACAACAATAGTGAATAGCATCTCCTCTCACCTGTAGACTGCGTATGTGTGGTACTCGTTCAGGTTGTTGATTCGCTCCTCCAGTTTGGGACTGCGCTGACTCTTGTCAATGGAGATGATGAAGAGATCGATGTAGGCGTCCAGGGAGAACTGGTACATGGGGTCGATACGGCCCATGTCGTTCAGCACAAAGAACAGGATCGACGCTCGGGTGGAACATGGCCTGTAACCCTGCGGATAAAATATTTCATATGTTAGCCATTTGGTAATATGGTAAAAATGGAATAGTTTGTATATTAGGTTTTATTTGATAAAGATTCAGAAAAGATAGATATTTTTTTTGCTTCAAGGATACCATAAATAATGATGTCAAAAGAATGATTTGGACTGATAGAGTTGTTACGGTTTTTGAAACAATAAGAACCAACAGTTCAAGGCTTCAATGTCTGATTGCAGAATTCTTTTCGAAAATCTAAAGCTACTACTAGCTGTTAATAGTTGAAACTTGGCTGACTGAAACATTCAAGTTGGATGTGAAAATACCAATTTGAAAGTTCCTGCAATATTTGGCTAAAAATCAACTGAATATGGTCAAGAGGCATTGCTGAAGGTTAGACATGATCCAGGCAATGAGATACACTTTCTTGTCAATAAAACTGTACAGTTACTCAATCAACTGCAGTGGTTAAATTTTGAAAATACATTGATTAAAATCTATCCAGGTGCTTGAGTAACTGTTACAGTTTTCTTGTGTGAAGGTTGAGAGAGTTTTCGATCGCACCTCTCTGGCCGCGTCGATCTTGATCTCCGTCTGTTCGCTGATCTGCAGCTGTTCTCCGACCTCTGCTGACGTGACCTTGGAGGACTGCAGGGTGTTGACCAGCTGTTCATCGTCCAGGAGGGAGCCCTGAGCCTCATTCAGCAGTCTGGAATGGTAGAATCAATGTTAGAGTACAGGCTCAATGGCCCATAGCATACAGAAACATAACATGACAGAAACACATCTAAAAAAAACATCAAAGTATGTACAGATAAATGTGGCTAAGCTGTCCTGCCGCAAGGACAGAAACCCTCATTCCCTAAGTTTAGTCTATTTCATCATCATTTGTTTTCTGGTATGATTACTGCTCTATCTACTAGGTGTACTATGTATTGTGCAAACATATGTGTATAGATCCAGTAGGACTTTAAATGATGGAATCTGTACCTTTTCCCTCATGAGCTCAATGAAAAGCAGCCTGCAGGCTAATTTGAGCTTCTCATGAATAGATGAAGGTTCAAACAAAATGGAACAAGGTACTGACACTGTACACATGCACCAGGCAAACCTCTACCAAGACTTATCACTTATCACTTATTTTTCCATGTCCTGTTGTTGCCTACCTGAGAATTTCATCCTCCAACTCCTTCAGTTTCTTCTTCCCAGCAGCAATGTTGATCACCAGACTGTCCTTCTGTTCCTCAAGCTCTGGACGTTCCTGACAGACAAAAAACAAGAGCATTGTAAAACTTTAAAATTAACTGGTATTTAAAGATATTCTGACCCCCAATTAATCACTATTAACTGTCTATATAGCACAACAACAAGAATACCAGAAGGATGCATAAAAGTTGCTGATGCAACATAGTAATGCTATTATGCATGCTTAACCTATGATCCATTGAAATGCAAACAGGGACACCAATATGGCAGTCAGCACCTGACTGCTGCTTCATTAGTATTGAAAAAATGCTAAGTAAAATGTTGAACCTAATTCCAACACACAGGTTAAAAATTCACAAGAGACTTTACTGAATTTGATCTCTGTTTAACCTGTGTGTTAAAATAAAGTTCAACATTTTACTATGATTACTACCAACACAGATAAACTTTCATGATAATTTGGAAAGAAAAAATGCTGTTCACCTTTCTGACAACTATTCCCAGCAGCTGTGCCTCCAGACCCTGCTCCTTCACAGCGAAGTTGATGATGGTTGTCTTGGTGCTGATCTCGGGGGTGTAGTGGGGGTTACTGAGCTTGGTGGTGATGTAGAACTTGAAGTCAGGGCTGTACTCCACTTCCTTGTCACCCAGTCGGATCAGGAAACGGCCACCTGTGAGGACACACCATGGCTTTGTGTTATTCTCTCACCACCTAGACATAACCTTTTGATGCCTCTACATTGCTGCTTTTAAATGAAGAAAATTATACAGATACAGATATATGTTCTAATCAAAAATGACACTTGATGATTAAAATGAAGTATTGATTGAGCAAGCAAATGTCAGGACACTGATTATCCTTCTTGCCATATCATGTAGAAATCTACATGGTCATACATACATTGTGTACATTCTGAGTGCATCACGCTATGCCTAAAGTGATGATGGCTGATTGACCAATGAAGTGTAAGGACAGATTGACAATTGACCAATGAAGTGTCAGGACAGATACTATTAGATGAATGACCAATGAAGTGTCAGGACAGATAGATGATTGACCAATGAAGTATCAGGACACAGCTAGATGACTGTCCCTCTTTACTGACCGACTTTGATGATAGACTTGCTGAGGATGGGGCTGAGTGAGGGGTCCAGCTCCTCCTGTACGTTCTGCAGCAGAACGGGGGTGCCAAACTGGACGGCGTTCTCCAGGGTCCTCAGGTAGTCATGCTGCTGGAGGTCAATGATCTTCAGGTCCTGGGATGAGAAAAAAGAAATCCAGACTCCATTTAGTTCAAGAAATGGTTCCCAGTAGATTGTATTTATAAGAATTCTAAGATGCAGAAAGTAAAAAGTATTGCATTGTAGTATTTTCTAGGCAGAATGTGTAAGAATGTGTAGACTATACAAAAGAAATTTGTAATAGACTGCAAGATTGAACTTCACAAATCTAAGGTAGATTTATGGAGAACAATTATGACTTACTCAAAAAATTTTTAAGAACTATCTACTGTCCGCTAGAGAGCTCAAAGATATTTATCCCTCTACTAGTATAGCTGCAATAATAGTCCCTAAAAGACAAAAGTTAGAAGAAGTAACTAATACCAGCATACGTACCCTCTGCCTTTCCATGTTCTTGATCCATTTGATGGCCTGTCCCTGTGGATCCACCATGAGCGGCCAGCGCCTGCCGCGGGACACGATCACGCCGTTCTCCGTGGAGAAGGCGTCGGAAGGCAGGCCCTGGATGTTCCAGTCTCGCACCACCGTGGGCTTGGACAGGAACTGAGCGAAGCTGAAGTCGGGACTGCAGGGCACGTTGAGCTGCCGGACCTCTTTGATCCAGATGTTTAAGACCATGTCGTCACGATAGTTGGAGAGGAAGGGACCGGCGTAGGACAGGAAGGCAGCTGCAATCAGACAGTCTCCCACGAGGTATCCCATGTTGCCCTCCAGGATCTAGGAAATGAATCAGGGATGTCAGGCCATATCAAACTGCTCGTTTCTATCAAAGCTAATAATCCACTTTGCATGGAAAACATTTTTGTGAAAACAATGTTCTTCATGCAAAGCCTCTGATCACTATATATGCACTTTAGTTGACCTGAAAGGGACAAGGAAGGAATATAGGACAGCAAATACTCAGTTTACTAGTTTTCTAAGTCTGCTCAAAGCAAGAGGGGTTACACCTACTTTAAAACAGAACAAAATAGTAGATCCTATCTTAGCCTTCTCCCTGCTGCCTAACCCCATTAACCAATGGATACAGAAATGGTGCCAAAAGGCTACTTCAGCTTGCTGAAGGTTAAACTTACAGTGGCATTTTCCTCCCAGCGAACCTTCTCCCCAGCCAGACCGGACACCAGTTTGCCGGCCCGGTCCAGTTTCAGTTCCGTCTCCTCGGCCTTCTTCCTCAGCTCTTCCTTCTGGGCCAGTTTCTCATCATACTGTCTCTTCAGGTCCTCCATACGCTTGTTCACCTGAAATTACAACAGTCAACACTCTTACTATTACCTGCTTCTAATGAGGATGTATTTTTGGTGTGTCTGTATTTGCTTGTGTTTCAGTAGTTATTTCTGCATGCTAGGCATGTCAGGGACACTGACAGGAAGTTAGTTAAAGGTGCCAGGAAGGTTCCAGAAAAAGTAATAATGATGATCTCATTTCCTGCCACGGCATTGGATAACAATGATACAAAAATCCAGTAAGCTGTTTCAATTCAAAGATGAAGAAAAAACAAGTATGCTCATATCTATTCTTAACATAGAATGAAACAATTAAAGTCTCACTTCATCAAGTCTTCGCTTGGCCTCTGCTAGAGATGCTTGTTTCTCCTTGAGCTGGGACAGAGCGTTGTTCAGCCTGTTACGCTTGGGTTCCACCACTCGGTAGATACGTCCGTACACCTGCAATGGCAGACATTTACAGAACATTGTCACACATACAAGCTTTGGTCTATATTTTAGCTTGGATTCAGAAAATTTTCTGCAACAGGCTCACTACATTGCAGCGGTTGAAGCTACCCAGATATTTTACCAACATTAAAACTTTTTACAGATATCTAGTTGGTTGCCAGAAATATATTTTGTGTCATCATCATTAAATGTTGATAAATACATAATTTTGATGTTGTTTGTGTTGACTGACCTCCATAGCTCTGCACCACATACACAGGGACTTGGCAGCAGCAGACACACGCCCGATGATCTCAGGATCAAAGTCGGGCTGGGCACAGTACTGACCAATCTTCTTCAGCGTTCTGTCCGAGATGTTGTCACGGTCAAAGTTGACCAGCTGCTTGATGAAGTTCTGGTCACCTATTAGGAATAATGTACATGTTAATCTTCATCTTCCTTCATTTATCTGTTCAGATAATATATTCCCTTTCGAAGTTTTCTATATATAAATACTATGCGGTTGAAATTAAGACCCTGTACACATTGAAATGTTGAACATTCTTTTTGTTTCCAATATGTGCATCATTTATATGTGCATCATCAATAAGTCCTTGAGAACACGTTTTGAACAGTCATCAAATATAGCTCAATCAGTTAAAAGCTCAAGTAAGCCAGCATAATACTAGTAAACTAAAGGATAGCGTACCTAGCTGTCGTTTGGCCTCTGCCCAGGTTGGTTCGTTCCCTCGTAGGATCATCACAGCTTGCATGACGGTCTCGACCAGCGCTGGAGGCTTGGCGTAGGACTTGATCTCTGTCATGTCCTTCTTGTTCAAGGACTCTAAGGCCTGACAGGGGAAAACAGTATACACACAACTCAGTACAACCATCTGCTTAGTTCAGATATTGATAAACTTGAGGTGATTAAAGAAGACAATGTTATCACATTCTATCTACTGTTGATGAGTTATTCTGGCTAGTACTATCAACCTATGTGATATAATTCGTCCAACAGTCTGATGGAAAATGGTTACTGAAAGGGCCCTTGGCTGATTTTTAGGGTACCACCCATAAAATAAAGGACTTATCTTGGGGCTTGTTTCTGCAGTTTTAATTACCTAAAGTATGAAATACTGATTGAAATGTTCTAATGTGAAGCAGTATGTGTCAATATCATAAAGATTGCCATTTTCAGTATTTCCAGTTTTTCTGCTCTGAAATTGCATTAGATGCCTTTCTACTTACCTTTACGGCAGCCTCCAGGGCAGGCATGGCTTCATCCAGGTCCTTCTGGGCAGCATCAGCCATCCCCTGGCACCGCTTCTCATCCTCACCAATCTTCACACTTGCAGCTGCAACAGACTACACACAAAATAACAGCATTTAAAAATTAAGTAGATTCAAATATCCTAACTAATTCACCAAGAAAAATCTCTGTGCAAAGTTTCTCTCCTTGGTGCTGAAAACATGACTGCCATGGTCAAATGTCATTTGAAGAAAGACTTTTCAGGGCTGGAAATCTCACCTGACTTCTATGAATTTATCATTACCATAATTACAAATAATTTGCCAACTTTCTTTCTTCAGCATCTGCCACCACAGCGAACACACAATATGTCCATTTCTCTCAGACAGCTAAATTTTGCTACCATGAATATAAAGTGATTTACAGTATGAAAATTCTGAACCCTACTGGTTCTATACTACAAATTCCCAGTCACCTTCTGTTGTTCATCAGCCTCTCTCTTCTGCTGCACGATGGTGACCAGGTACTCGTCACACTCCTTCTGGAACTGAGCCACTTTGGTCCGCGCCTCCTCCAGCTCCACCGACATGACCTCCACCTTGGCTCGCGTGTCGTCGATCTTCATCAGGCCGTTACGAAGCTTGTTGATCTCGTCTCCGATCTCCTTACGCTTCTCGTACAGCAGTCTGGGAATAAGACGGGTGAAGTCAGTCTAATGTCACACCTACAATGTCAGCACTTTAACAGTACTCAGCTGCTCACCCTTTTATATTTTTTGAGCTGATCGACCTTTTCTAGCTCCATAACCATGTGATAGATGAGACATTGCACAATCAGATTTCCAACACTGACATTAAAAATAGAAGTGTCCTCATGCACTTTTTACTTTGTTAACCTGTATTGTATAAGTTGGATAACTAGAGATTGCTAAAATAAATAAATAAATAAAAAAAACAGGAAACACAGCAATTTTTCCTAGGCGTAAGGTTCATATGCTGAGCTTACTCCTTGTATCCAGACACCAGTTCCAGGTAGTTGGTGGGCGTTACGTAGTTGTGCCTCTTCATCTCCAGGAACATTCGAGCAGAGAAGTCCACAACCGAGCGGTGCATCACCACAAACACCTGCGCCACTGCAGGCTTAATCTGGGAAACGAAATCAGAGAAAAAATGTCACAATTTGATGATAAGACTCTTTAGCTTCTTCATACAAATGCCTTCAATTAGCCTGTAAATAGTTTAATCAAATTAGTAAATGTATGTTGGGCTCTTAGCTGCACAACCAAAGGATTTTATCATTTTAACATTTCTGTAACCTTTCATCTACCTTCCTCGTGGCTACATTAAAATTCCTTTGCTTGCATAGCTAGGACTCCAGTATATAGCTTCAGTTCATAACTGGGAAAACTTACAGCAAAATTTCACATATTCTGGTATGATCCCATGATGCAAACATATAACAACTTAGGAATAGACTTCAGCAGTTCAGGGTCCTGTTGTATTCCAGGTAGAACAGAACTCACATCCTCATTGGTTCCCAGGTCCATAGACTCCAGATATCTCTCTGCCACCTCCAGCAAAGCATCATGGGGCCATTCCAGGAACCAATCAATGGTGGTGGTGCTGACAAAGGCTGGGTACTGTCGGATGCGATTTCTACATGGAAAAAAAGTGGATTACTCTTTTTGATGGTTGTTTTATTATCTAATTAGGAAAACATAGCAAGAATTAAAGGTTTAACTTTGGAAATGGTTTTCTGTTTTTTTTAGTTAGTATACCACATATTTTTTAGTTTTAGTATACCATAAATAGTAGTCATTCAGTGCCATCACTGAATAGGTCACCCTGTTTAAATATGACGGAAATAAATAAATAAAGAAAGAAACACTAACCTGAAAGGCTCTCCCACAGGGCTCATACACAGCACCACGTGCAGGTTGTTCCTGACCTTCTCCACCAGGTAGGCAAACATCTGTTCTGGGGTGTCATTGATCCCGTCCTTCTTCGCTGCCTCCGTCAAATTATTTCGAACCTAGTGAAGTAGTCATTAAATCTATTACATTAACTGCAGAACAATGAGGTATTTTCAATAAGATCTTGATGTTTATACCTGGTCAAACAGGAGTCTAAATCCCTCCTGCTATAAAATTGCAACATGATGTAATCCAACACTAGTTACCTTGGTGACAGACGTCTGGTTCAGGTCATTGACCTTATTTGTTTGGAGAAGAAGAGGAAGAAACAGAGCAAAAACAATAATGTTTTCCTTCGGTAAACATAACTACACACACCTCTTCGAACTCGTCAGGTTTGTAGAGGTTGGGGACCTCTCCGCTGGACAGGATGTTGTTGATATCCTCTAGGAAGGACTCTTCAACGACCTGGGTGTCCACAAACAGGAACACCGTCGGTTTGTTCTCCACTCCCGCCATCCAGTACAGCCGCTTCAAGTCTGGGGAAGATAGGACGGAAGAACGTGTGAACAAACATGCGACCAGACTAGAAGATACAAAAACCAAGCACATCGACAGAGTGTACTGTGCCTGTGAAAAACCCCAATTTTTCAGTTTTTGTTGGATGTTTGGTCAACGTTGCATCAGAATTTTGCCAATTGCATATATCTTATAGTGACATATTACTCGGAAACTACAGAAGGTTGGGATGTTTTAAGGTTGTATTCGTGTACATATGGTTAAAACCATATAAACTGATAAATACTTCAAATTACTGACAAATACTTCCGGCCCTTCCTTAATGTAGACAAACAACAGCACCAATGTTTACTGCAAAACAACAAAAGTGACAACTGATCTCACCATCTCTGAACTCCGTCTTTCTGTAGTGCCTGGTCACCTCGATCTGGAAGACCTGGTACTCGCAGATGTAGGCAGCCAGGCGACCCAGGCTCTGTCTGCCGCTGCCTCCGATACCAACCAAGAACATGTTACCTCGGGGCTGTCTGATCACTCGTACAATACGGGAAACTGCCGGACATAACAAAGTGTTTCAGAATCTAACAGATTGTGTTATAATGGTAACAATTTATGTTCTCAAGTGGCAATATTTTTCCACAGAATTGTGTGTTTGGAAAACAGGGAAGCTAGAACAATAATCTTTCCCCTGAATATCTTAAAAATTACCTGTTCACATTGTTTAATGTTGTGGATAAAATCTGGAAAACTAACAGTATTTACAAGGTTTAGAGCTTTCAATTGACAATCTAATCTCAGACTAAAAGAAAGCAAGACTTATTGCACTGTAACTGAGCTTCCTGTTGAGATGATTAACAAATTTATCATCCACATTTTTTACGAGAAGAAAGAAAAATTCCTAGGACAACTTAATACAAATCTTTACCATGTTCCATGGCGTCCCTAAAGAGCACCAGGTCCATGGCGATCCAGCCTGGGGTGTTGTTGTAATCCTCCAGCTGATCCTCCATGAACCTCTTCAGGGCTTTGATGTCCGTCAGGTCTTCATACACACCCTTGTCATTCAGGAAGTCACCTGAAGAAGTACAGCAAAAGATCATTACTAGCTTCTTCCATTGCATATAGGGCTAAAAAAAATACATTTTTGATAAAGAGAAAACATTCTAAATCATTTGTATGAAAGCAGTTCTGCTTAGATTCCTTAGATTGTTCTCTATCGTCTTTCTTTAAGTAATCAATTTGATTTCTCATTTTCCTTTCCTAAAAATGACAAATTGAAAAACTAAAAAGTTGACTTACTTATGGCTACGAAAACTTGAAAAGTGACTACCAAATTTGGTCATCAAACTTTCCTTACTAAATACCGGTAGGGTAATATGGCCTCAGAGTGTCACCAACAGGCACTTAGGCTATCAAAAAGTACTTTGACCAAATATGGAAAGAGAATGACCAAATATGGTCTTTAGATGGAGCCTAACTGATAAGGGTCATGATAGAACCTTACCAAATATGGGCGGCTGTTTGTTGGGACAGATGGAGTGGTAGGTCACATCGAAGAGAGAGCCCAGCTTCTCACTCAGCAGCTCCACATAGGTCTGCATGTCGTCAGCGTCAATCAGACGGTCCGAGAAGACGCGGAAACACTCGTGGATCCAGAGCCGCGTCATGGCCTGCTTCGTGTCGTGGAAGTCACGGTGGGCTCGCAACAACCCTTGGAACACCTGGAAATTTTTGAAAAAGCATGCTTTAGATTATGCATTAATTATATATAAAATGCTACTTGCATTAAGGAAGGGAAAGGCAGTCAGCACCAAGGACAGGGAAAGACAGCCAGCACCAAGGACAGGGAAACATGGTCAGCACCAAGGACTGGGAAACACAGTCAGTACCAGGGACAGGGAAACACAGTCAGTACCAAGGACAGGGTAATGCTGTCAGCCAGGAAGAAAGAATTTTCAGCAACAAACAGGATTGTATCACTCAGTCTCTTTTCTTAAATGGTTACAGAACCACTACCATGTCTGATAACATGACCCATTTTGGCCCTCTATTCACACTATGTATTAGATAGCTCTTTGGTTCTTGATATACCTTGGAGATGTCTCTCAGGTTGAAGAGATAGTGGATCTTGGCTGGAGTGGGGAGGAACTTCTCCACCACAGACTCGTACACCTCCAGCGTGGCCTGGGTGATGACATCACCGATCGGCTTCACATCTTCTTCAAAGTCCTGGAGCTTCTGGTTGATCATCGTTCCGAAGATTCGCTTCTGTTGGGACTCCTGCACGGACACGATTGGAGAGGAACAGTGGTTAACTTTCGCAAAAATTTTTTTTTTCCATACAGTCTGGTAAGCAATAGCAACTGAAGGATTGACAGTCAATGACTAAAATAGGCTAAAATATGGAAGAGTTTCAATGTAAAGCTGGTGAGATGAATAGATGACATATTAATGCTGAAAAGTTTTTTATGATTACCAAAAAAGGTACTTAGTCTACTTGACATAAAAAGGTACTACTTTACCAAAAAAGGTACTACTTGGCCAAAAAAAGTACTACTTTACCAAAAAAGGTACTACTTGGCCAAAAAAAGTACTACTTGACCAAAACAGGTACTACATGTACTTGACCAAAAAAGGCACTGCTTGACCAAAAAAAAGTACTACTTGACCAAAAAAGGTACTACTTGACCAAAAAAGGAACTACTTGACCAAAAAAGGTACTACTTGACATATTGCATTTCAAATTTTGGTACTATCAGAAATTCTAAATTCAATAACTGCCATTGGGGTTCTTTTAGACTGTATAAAGGGAAACCTACACTTGGGAAGGTCATGTTGATCATGTTGAACCTGCTCTGAAGTCTGCCGGAGATGTTGGTCCTGCCTCCTCCAGGGGGACCCATGGATGCCATCAACAACATGTCCTGTGGAAGTGTGGAAGAGCAGCAGGCATTTATACAAGTTAACAACTGTAACACAATCCTAAAACAGGCTCAAACAGTAACATCAGTGAAAGTAGTTTTCTCTCTGACAAACCTGTGCTTTATACTAGAGATATACAAACTGTAGTCCAAAACTACTGCTGATACAATGCCTAATTCTTGACTTACAGTCTATTTTGGGATCAAATATCTGTGAACATTTCTACAATGCTACAGGGCATTTGTAACAGTTACTGTTTCTTTACTTAGGATTTTGGTGTGTAATATTAAAGGGCACTTGTAACTGCTTCTGAACGGAGTCCGTGTTGTATACAAGTGTGCAGATAGAGTCCACATGAACATGAAGAAAACTTACCTTCACATATTTGACCGTCTGTTTTTCCCTGTCGTACCAGAAGCTGTAGTCGATCCACTGACGGATGAGCTCCAGAGGAGGCTGGGAGCCAAACAGGTCCTTAGCCGGCATGTTGAAGTCGTCCATGAAGGTGATGAGTTTCTTCCCACCGATGGGAACGTACACACCCTTGGTCCTCTTCTCTACTCGGCTCTCTATGATGTCCTGGACATTGTTGGATGAAGTCTGGAAAGAAAACACTACAGTTAGGCGAACAGACACTGATTTGATTCCTGGGTAGGTGCTGTGTCCTTGGGAAAGGCACTTGGCTTTCCTCACTCCACCCACACTTTGGTTGGGGAGGTAAACGGTAGTGGAAGGAGAGGACACAGTTGACAGCAGCCCACAGCCCTACAGCATCAAAGAAGGTTATGGAATCTTTACTGCTGAAGTGCAAAAGGTCTAGAGTCATGTGTGTTAGTGATTTTGAGTGAGGACGAAGGGTTTGGTAAGTCCTCTCCAATATCATGAAGAAGCAAACTACTAGTAAATCATTTTGGTATCTATTAATAATTCTTTTATGCACAATATTGTGCATCCTTTACTAACTATCATGTTCAAGAATTGATCTGAATTTTCTTTCATTATGTATGCTTTGAAAAAAAGTCTAGAGCCTGACCTGAGCAGACAAATTGACAGTGAGGATGTTGTACTTCTTGGAGTCCAGTTGAAGCAGAGCGTTCTGTGCCACGGAGGTTTTCCCTGTACCGACTGGTCCGGTCAGCAGGACAGGGTTCCCCTTCTCCAGCAGGACCGAGGCCAGGAAGTTATATCTGACTGTGTCAACTGTCGGTACCATGATCTTGTAGAATGGAGTACTGTGAGGAAATAGATGTCAGTTACACATTCAGTACATGATATAAGACAAACCTTGAGATATGGTGCAAGAAAATTGTGTGGATAGACACTTTACTCAACAAATTTCTGTTAAAAAAATTAAATGGCTGAAATCCTTGGTGAGTTTATCATGTCCACCTTATATAGATTTGTTCAACAACAGAGAGGTATACTGTGATGAAATGCTACAAGACTGTCTATATTAATAATGATATACATATTAACCATATACTGTAGTTGATTTTGAATTCCTCTTTAAGCTTATATGAAAGTCTATAAGAAAGACAACATCCTTTTCAAGTTGTCTTGCCAGCTATCCTATCAAGCTCCTGTTATCATTAATATGATGATGTTATATTCTGTACATACGTTGGGTTGTATCTCCAGTCTCGAGGCAGTTTGTCCTCAAAGTGGCTGTACACCTTGTTCTTGGGGTCCACGTAGTACTCATAGATGGTGTCCTTGTTTGGGAAGGACCCCTCCAGCTCCCGGATGTAGTTGTCCATCTTCTTCCTGCCGTCCTCGTCCACGGTGGCTCCCACGGACCAGATGAGACAGAACATGAACCACAGCTCGATCATACGCCCGTAGTTATCACTGTCGTGGGGGTTCACCTAACGGGGCAACGGGAAATACGTTTTTCTTCACTCATTGCTTATTTTTTAACCCAACTGTTAAACATTGAGACTAAATTCTTAGCACTTGCTTTTTACAGAACATGAACCACAGCTCGATCATACGCCCATAGTTATCGCTGTCGTTGGGGTTCACCTAACGGGTAACAGGAAATACGTTTTTCTTCACTCACTGGTTATTTTCAAAACCCAAAATGTTAGACTTTGGGGTTCAATTCTTAGCATTCTTTTTTGCAAAACATAAAAAGGTTGGCACATACCATATGCCTTGTTGCACAAAACTTGAAAAAAAAATGTACTTCCTCACTTGCTCACTCACTCACTCACTCACTCACTCACTCACTCACTCACTCACTCACTCACTCAATCACTCACTCACTCACTCACTCACTCACTCTCACAGATACACATCTAGGGGCAATATTTTATAAGGCTTTGTATCAATCTACATTTTGTACATTTTGTACTAGGGTTTTAAGTTGAAATTTACTTTTCATAAATTATCATTAATAATAAGTATGAAAATCACTGAATCAATCCCGTCCTGTACTGAGGAAAATACATCAAAGTCTTCAATAACTATTGACAAAATTGGGAAGATACACACAAAAAACATAAATCTAGTCAAAATACCTACCCCATTCTCTTCGGTAGCCAGTGAATCCAGGAGTCTGCACAGAGATGCCACCACGTTCAGCTCAGACGAGACCACCAGCTCCTTACACTGGGTTCTGCGGAACTCCAGCACCTGGTTCACATACTTGTCAAACAGCCGCTGAAGGTGCTCCACAGATTGCTGAAAATAACAACATAGCAGGATTAGTTTTACACACTCATTTATAACTTTGTGATCCCACTTTTAAAATATTGATAACATCTACTATTACCAACACAAACTCTTCTAGAGGATATGTTTCATGTATAATAGACAAATATGCTTTACTTTTATTTGCGCCAATGATAACTTTCATGAATATTACTTAAAATTTTTCTTTCTACAGACTATGTGGCTGGTGACAAATTGCTTGAGACATAGCTGCAATGAGTGCAAAAGTACAAATGAAATTTTCATCCTCCACGCAATTCTTCTTGGTTTGGACATTACCTTTTGTGTCCGCTTGTCCAGCCAGGAGTCAACATAGGGTTTCCACCTGAGGTCGTTGTAGTCGTTGTACACCATGCCACACCTGCTAACAGTGGCAGGTGAGGCCACCGCCAGGTCCTCCACCTCAAACAACAGGGACACCTGCGGGGGAGGGGGGCAATTAGAGGGATCACACAAAACAGCATCTGTGCATGACAAATACCACCTTTGAGCTGGTATGTTATGCCAAAAGGCAGTTGTACTGGCTATGCAGATACAGACACAAAAATAAGTTGTATCAAACAACTGGAAAACCTACATGGGGAACAGTTAAAAGGGTTATGCAAAAGAGCATCTGGGATAGATTAACTGTTCATCATATCATTACAACGGAGTAGCAGCAATATGTGATCATACTTCTTTCTCCTACATTATATATGTGACATTTGTTGTATTGGTACCTTTTCTGTGCTGGTATAGTTGCATTGAAAAGCTTTCCACAAAAATGATTGCAACTATGCTTTGGTTTGATCACTGACAGTCATCAGGATAAGTTGTGAGAGTGGAAATTTGGTTGAAATTGCATCTCAGCTCATGATCAATGCTTCTTCATAAATAAATGAAAGTGAAATGTAAAACAATATTTGATAACCTACTTGATCAGGCATGCCGATCCTCTCTCCGTTGATAAGGGTGAGAATCTTGTTGTCGTCCATGACTGAGTTCATGCTCTCAATCCACAGGGTGTCCACCGGACCGTCAAACAGTATCCACTTCTGGTCTGGCTTCTCATCTGGCACACACAAATCATACATTACACTAGAAAGATAACATTTGCAAAGCAAATGCATAATGTTTACCTCCACATATGGTCTGCTCTGTTAATTCTCACTCAAACACATTCATATATATTGGTCAGACAGGGGTCTAAATCCCTCCTGCTATAAAATTGCAATAACCCAACACTAGGTACCATGGTGACAGACATTTGGTTCAGGTCATTGACCTTTATCTGTTTGGAGAAGCAGAAGAAGAAGAGGAAGAAAAAACAGGGCAAAAACAAAATGTTTTCCTTCTGCAAAGGTAAACATAATGAATATGAATTAGAAAAGAAAAAGGAATGTTACATCCTAGATTTCAGCACCAAGGAAAGGACTTACCTGCACAGGTCAGTCTCATGACACTGGACAGAACTCCGTCTGTCCACTCGTTGGTGTTGAGGTCAAACTCTCCGTACAGCTCACCCAGGGACAGGGCCTTGGGGTTGATGGGATAGTCCTACAGGAACAAGGAAAACATAAGTCTTGTGATATCAAGTTTCAATTGAATGTGTATTTTACATATATATGGCAATGAAAGGGACAATTTTGATTTACAGCCTACAAAGACTGAACAGTCTGTTCCCTAAAACACCCAGCAGGTTGGCAAAACATAAGGCGGCTGTGCAAAACTCTGATTTGTCACGGTTTGGAAGTTTGGTCAACGTTGCATCAGAATTTTGCCTGTTGCAGAGGACATCTTTCCCAACATGACAATTGGAAACTACAGACGGGATGTTAATCTTATATGCGCAAATACGACCTTACATGAGACATTCTGCCAAAGTGCTATGCACAATACATTACAGGTTACAGGTGCGGTACGTTCTGCCGACGTGCTAAAACACACTAACCTTGACATTTTCACAAGAGAACGTAGTGTCGCCTTGTTTCTTCATCCTCGCCATGGTTGCCTGCAGCATGCGCCACGTCACCGTCTTCCCGCTGCCCGTCTTCCCCACGATCATGGTGGAGTGACGAGAGTTCTTGGTCTCGAACAGCTGAATGATCTTCTGGGTGGTGAAGAAGATGTTCTGTAGGCCAGCAGCCTTCAGCTCAGCGTCTATGGCTTGTTTGAACTGAAAAGAAAAATTACAAGACAATAAGTGCATGAAGTTGTAGTCAGTCCACTTTTGTGATATGTGAGTTACTTAAAGTGAAAGTTCTTAAAGTGAAAGTTCTTTCGTGCACCTCTGGTGCATAGGTTGGTGCCTGTCTCCATTTCCCTTGGGCCACACAGTTGTGCAATCACTACAGCAGTAGGCTATTCCACTGGTAATTGTGTGTGTTTAACTCCCATACTCTTTCCCAAATACTAAATGCTATGTAGAGGAAGCAGTATGTACCATATTTCTAATTTTTAAAAGTCTTTGGTATGACTCAGCCAGGGCTCGAACTCACAACTTATCGGGGATCAAACTCACAACTTACCAACTCACAACTTACTCTACCCACATGGCCGTTGCACCGTGATATGTGAACCCTTGTTGAACAACAAATAACAGACTGTAGCAATAATAAAACTAAACAAGAAGCCATAGGCGACAATTCTCCGTGAAGTATTATATATTGCAACAAAAAGAAGTAGCCATTGGCGACAATTCTCTGTGAAGTGTGATAAATCGAACAAAGAAAAATTGTTTAAACGCGCGTCGGCTCAGTCATCTTAAGACGCAACAACCAATCAGAGATGCGAGATGCCTACACGTGACGCGGGAAGGGCGCGCGATGCCCGAAATATTTTTGCGTCAATATTCAGCGCCGTGATTCAAGAGATTAATACCCGGAAACAATTTTTTCTTGTTTTGAACGCATTAACATGCATTTACGCTAATCTAGTATGATTCAGGGTTACTTTTTTTTAACCTGCCATGGCCAGATTATCTAAAGATGTGTGTATTGTGTGTACAATCTATAGAAAGAGAAATGTACATCAGGTCCGATCATCCGATTTTCACGTTTCGGTTTTTTGGACTCGGTTCATGAACGTATTTTGGTTTGGCTCCTGGAATGTGCAAAAAAATGACTCCCGGGACTGTCTACAGGGAACACTCGCACATTCGCGGTGTATCAGGACGGCGCGACTGGTCGTCATTAGCGCAGTAACAGTTGCATAAACGGACGAAACCATTTCAAAGAAATGGGGATGTTTCGAAAATAAGCATTTACTCCAATATCAAAACAGCTACGGTAAAAATAAAAAGACGTGCATCATCCCGGACATAATGCAACACCACATGCGAAATTACACAGAAATGCGACGTACGGAAGAATGCGTTTTGGCTGCGAACATCTTCCAAAAAACTTGGCATCTCTTAACCATGGGCAAAAACATCTGGAACCACTTATAAAAACCACCCCGTATCTGCATGAACTTTTTTGAACCCCACTGCTATTCCAAACAACGCGTTTTTCTGGACCATTCCAATTCGCCTCGTAATTGTAGGGGTGCGTCTGCGATATTACATTGACCGCGAAAGCAGCAACGGCAAAAATACACATTCGTGCATCAACACGGGCATGCCCGCAGACGGCGTATAAAATTGCGTGCCGATTACACAAAGAGAACCCAGTGTTTTGACTGCGAACATGAAAAATCAGCCGATTACAACACTCCGTCCGGAGGTCCTGACCTCCTTCACGGAGTAACTAGGTTCAAACAGGTCTGTACCTTGCCATAGTCGATGGCGGGAGGGTCCACACCAGGGAACAAGTCAGACACGATGGAGTTGAAGAGGGGAAGGTCAATGGAGGTCAGCTTGGCCAAGTTCATGTCCCTCATGGAGATGATCAATACCTGCATTTGATTTTCAACAAAGAGGAAATACAAAAATTCATATCATACATTCATGACAGTGCACCATCCATACATAGAAAAGATGCTGAACACCATCCACACACAGGTAAACACACCTGTCCTTGGTGCTGACCACCTTCCAAACACAGGCAAACACACCTGTCCTTTGTGCTGAACACCATCCACACACAGGCAAATACACCTAACCTTGGTGCTTAACACCATCCACACACAGGCAAACATACCTGTCCTTAGTGCTGTACACCATCCACACACAGGTTAACACACCTGTCCTTGGTGTTGAACACCAACCACACACATGTTAACACACCTGTCCTTGGTGCTGAAAACCTTCCACGCACAGACCTAGTCTCCTCATACATGAATGTTATCATTTTTTCTTGTCAGGAGTGCTAGCGCTTTCTAACAGCCACTGGCTAGCTGGGATGCCATAGTTACCAGTGTGTCATTAACTGTTACTGTTACAATGAATCCAATAAACAACTTTCTTACCTCCTCGTCCGGCATGTTTGGGTTTGCTCGCTTCTTCCTGCCAGCATACCTCAGCACAGACACCAGTGCTCGCAGACCGAAGTCGTAATGGTCCTGCTTGGACAACTGCTGCACAGCCAGGGAGTACAGAGTCTGCACCTTCTTAGCAAGGACCTGGGGAGGGAAAAAATGCATGTCAGAGGTTTATAATAGTGAGAGTTTTGCCCAGTTATAATGGCAAATACTGTACATAATGGCTGCCAAATTGGTCTAAGTGTGGAGAAACAGTGCAAGTAAATCCATCACTTGAAAAACACACACAAAATGATGCACAGAAACAAGCCAAACTGACATGTTTTTACTTTAAATTTGCAGTGAGTTTCAAGCAAAAGTGGCTTCAAAGTAGTGACTTGGTGACTTCAAAGCAAGAGTTTTTCACTTTCTGTTACGGTACCAAAACATGTATGCTACATTGTTCTGTGAGTGTCTATCTACAAAACTAAGTGCATCACATTTTGTCCAGACTTACCCTGGTGTTGCTGAAGCCCTCTCCAAACAGAGTGATCTCAGCGATGTAGCCTGAGTCAGGAACCACCATGGAGATGGGCCGGAACATGGACTTCAGGTTGTCTGGTAGCTCAGTACGCCCAGCATAGCCTGGGAACAGCACCAGTAGTCAACATTGTTACCCTCAAAACTCTTAGGGTTATACAGTAATATTAACCACTGTACAAAACACTATCACAGGTCTGGCAGCTCAATTCATGCAGCATAGCCTGGGAACACATTTTAGATTTTAATTAATATTGACATAAGTTTACAGGCACATGGATAAAATCAATGGAAATGGGCAACTTTTAGTTCAAGGAAGATGATCATGACTTAAAATTCTTTCCAAACTAATAATTGTCAGAGCTCTATGATTGATTGATAAATGTGTCATTTTGACTTACAGGAGAAAAAAAGACAGAAGGAGAAAAAACAGATTGAGGAACAGAAATTGTCAGTACTATTATTCAACATTGTTCAAGCAAGTCTCAGTATTCAGTTCAATTTCTTCAAAGCAACTTGATTGTAAGCATCCAATTATGATTAAAACACAATTTGTCCTTGAGGTCAAATGTGGAAATCTGTTAGGCAAGAAGGATGGCTCATTCCAAAACCGTTACTCACCAGGGTTCATGGTGATGAAGATCCCACAGGACCAGATCAGGTTGATCTCCCGCCCCTCAAACACGAACCTCTGTGATCCGGCCGCCAGTGCTGACAGGATGGACAGGATCTGCTGGGCTACCACTGACAACACCTCGATGTTGATGCGGTTAAACTCATCAAAACAGCCCCAGGCACCGGTCTGGAGAAAAACATGGAATTCAACATGAAAAAATAAAACTATCACAAAGTTCAGAGCGTGTTTATTTTTATGTGTTTTCGTCCAATTCCAGATTTTTTCTTTAAACATTCACATGGGTTTGAGGATGAAATGTGAGTAGGCAAAGTATTGTATGTTTCAATGCACCTGTTTTAATCCACGAAAGCCCGAGTCATGGCATTGGTTCTAGGTTTAGATTTGCTGGAATGCTCCTTTTTGTACCAGTCTAGTGTTGTGCGAATGTGCCGAATTTATTGTTTTTAATCTATTGAAAATGCATTGGAGTGATGGTCCTGCATTATTTCAGACACTACCCACCTGTGCGAGTCCTGAGAACATCCTGCCCATAGACTTGTAGTCCAGACCCTCGGAACAGTTCACCACGATGACATAGTCTCCCAGGGCCTTGCCCAGGTCCTTCACAGTCTCTGTCTTGCCTGTCCCGGCCGGGCCCTTAGGACTGCCTCCCCGATGGAGGTGCAGGGCTGTGGTCAGGGTCATGTAGCATCTGGGAAAACAAGTATGGAATCAGTCCAAAATTCAAAAGGAATTCAGGAAAATTTCCTACTTATCTCTTGCTTCGCAAGGAGGCAGAGGAGGTCAGAAGAGTTACACAAGTCTTGACTTAGTCTTGTGTTCTCATGTTCTCGTGATACTAGGCCGCTCCGTGATCAAGGCATTCAGTGGATGTCGAAAATTTGGAGGTATGTGTTTGCTACCCTCAAAAGAGTCACTATTTGATGAATGTTTTGACTAACAAGGAAAATCCAAGCATGAAGTTGATTCCTGTCCAAAACTGATTTTGGAAATGAACTTCAGAAGTACAAGTTGGCACATTGGAAGACAAAATTCTGGGATTGTCTAAATGATGTAAAACAAATGAAATAGATACTGGACAAAGACATTCTAGTATTTCAAAACCCCTACCTGTCAGTGAGTGGAGTGATGACCAGCCTGCCAGAGTTCCCCAGGTACTCATACCCATACTGGAACTGGGTGTTTGTCTGTCGTACTACACAGTCATCGATATCCTGCAAAAATTTCCAAATTATTGAGATCAATGAGAGAAGAAATTACTGCATGGTTACGGAATAATTGAATGCTGAAAGTTAAATTCAAGGACAAATAAGCCTAGATCCTGCAAAAGATGTGATCCAGGTATATCATTTACCCCTGAGAACATTTCTTATCTCTGGTAATACTTTGAAGGTCAAATTTGAACTCTCAATGTCAACAATATGGCCGCCACACTACCTTGTCCCAGTAGACGCGGAGCTGCATGAGCCACTCGAAAGCTGTGACGTCACTGACACCAGACTTGATGAGCTTCTCAATCACGTCACGGGCGTGGACCTCAATGGTTACCAAGGCAACGATCTTCAGACGTTGGATCTTGGTCAGGTTGCCACGGATAGCCTCGGAGAACTTGTTCAGCATGGAGATCTACAGAAGGAACAACAACAATCAAGAGATAAGATACAAGAGATTAGCTGCAAAGCACTTTGCAAAAGCATCTTAACAGAATAATCTAGTTCAAATTTTCACTATTCAAAGCAATGGCAATTGACATTCATCTGCAATCGCCATTTTAGAAACTTAAGATACATTACTTTTTTTCAAGACCTAAGACTGTTTTACTGGTCGAGGAATGTTTAGGTATGACAGTGTTTAAGAAAATTGTTTTATTGCCAGACTAACCTGTTTCTTTTTCAGGCTCTTGAGGGCCTTCTTGTCACCTCGTTCCTTGGTCTGAGCCAGGGCCTTGGTGACGTCTGCTGTCCACTGCATCTGACTGGAGGTGATCAACATCTGGGGAAAAAAACATTTGGTGATGTTACAGCAAAGCCTCACATCTAATGCATGCAATAATATGGAAGCAAGGCTGATATTCTAATAGACCAGTTTACCTTATACTGATTGCATTGAACTGCTTACGTCACATGTGGGGGATATTTTGAATAGAACATCATTCTAGACCCAGCTTTTGCTTGTATTGTCCCCTCTGGCAGATTTACTGATGTGTGTAACTCTGATTTCTGAAAGTTCCTGACCTGTGTCGGTACAATGAGTCTAAAACTTATCGATACTTCACAGAAGGATGGCTGTCCCGTTTTCTTCCACCTAATCTCACCAGATAGCCGATTCTGGTATCTAAGAGCAGAATGCAGACCATCACAGTGATCTGACAGGGGGGACACTGCTTGCAAGTAAAAGCCGCGTTCAACTTCCGAGACTAGAATGGCATTTTATTCGAAATGTCCCCCATGACGTAATCAGTTCTTGCAATCCCTGAAAGGTAAACAGGTCTATTGCAAGTCTAGAATGATATGTAATAATTTACAGAAAGCTAACAATGCCATGGATGTGTCCAGTACCTGTCCAGCCCAGTCCTTGACCCACTTGTCCCTCTTGCTGACTTGTTTCTTGAGAGCTGTCCTGCACTGCTTCAGTAGATCCTTCAGGGTCCATCTCATGGTCCTCTCCACATCACACAGCCATGCCTGGACAGGGCAGGAAAGAAAGGTTTACACTTACTACAGTTTTGATGATTGCTGTAAATATATGTCATGTAATTCGTGTTCTGTATTTTTGGGTGGCAGGGAAAAATAACGATACTCGTGTTTAGCCCCACTCAATTGTAACACTTTATCAAAGACTTGTGCTAGCCCTTGTTGTTTGAGTAATTAGGATATATTAGATTGTATTCTACATTTGGTCTTAATAGTTTAATTCCTTTCCTTTTTCTTTGCACCTTGCCATACATTGTACCATGTGCACTGTCATGCAATAAAGTTCTTCTACCGTATTTCGGTATATGTAAGACTTCATATTGTGATCTTTTCCCCTACCACTATACTGTACTAGCATACTTTAACAATGGTGATGCTGTTTAAGGCTCAACCTTTATGCTGCGTAACATGTAACATAAAGGTGTATGCCTGCATTTTGAAAGACAACAGTTTATTTTTTTGAAATGTTCATTTTTTTTCCAAACAAACTGTACCTCCACAGGCCCCTCCAGCAGCACAGGGTGTCCAAACTCCACATACTCGCCATCCGTGGAGGACATGCCCTGCGCCTCGGTCTTGTTTCCCACCCCGATCTTGTGGGTCTTCAGAGACTTGATGTTGTCGAAGCACTTCTTCAGATGAGGCTGGACCTGGAGGGAAGAGTTTCAAAAGTTGGGTCAATCTTAGCTATGTGATAAATTGCAAGATGACAAAATTACTAATTTGACTGCAGCAATTTGGGCACTGGGACAATATCACAAATTAAATCAGGTTTAAAACCACACTTAGTCTAGTATTTCTAGATGTTAACCAAGCACATCAACTGCCAATGCTAATAAATACATCCAAATAAATGACTGTTGTGTTGAATGTTCTCGCTGAAAATGAATCTAGCTGACAAAAGGATCTTTTAAGAGGATTTTAGTGTCATGATTTTTCTTTCATTTAGATCAACCAGTCTTACTAGAAGCAGCTAACAGATGCAGGTGACAAATAACTATGGGGTCCTGTGGTGCAACAGCAGCTTGCTTTACTCGGAACCAAGAGGTCTCTGGTTTGAGTCCTGACATGCCACTAATCTTGTGCCCTGCACTTTACACAACTTTCCCCACTAAACTCAAGTGAAAATGAGTATTCTCTGTATACTATTTGTTGCAATAAATCAAATCGAATGAAATCATGACAGAGCAGTTTTTCTCAGAATTAACTTACAGCTTCAGGGTTGCGTGACTGTCCGAGTATCTCCAGCAGGTCGTCATTAGAGATGAAGTAGAACCTGGGGAAGATCTGGCGCTTGGTCTCCAGGTACATGTCCAGGGACTTCTGGATCTCTTCCAGCTTGGTGTTCATGTCATTCAGCTTCTCCAGGATGCCTGGGAGCAACAACAACAAAATGATTTTTGGCTACTGGATGTTCTCTTAGAAACAAAAACACCATCTCCATCCCCCCAGCCAGAACAAAAAGACTTCAGAACTCTTTCCTACATCAGTCCATCAGACTCTACGATCAGACTGTATAATCAGAGTCATACTTGTTATGTCTTGCTAGGATGTACTTGACAGTCCAGTTCATATCAGAAGTATGTACTTTAGTATATATTCATGTATATATGTAACGCAATGTAAGGTTATGTGTTTATCTTAATATAATGATTTTAAAAATATCAATGTCATTCAGGCAACATTATAATAATTTAATGTGTATGTCTGCAATGTTGATATGATAATAAAGAATAGAAAAAAAATGATTAATCAAAGTACGGATCAACATATCATAAGGACTTCTGAGTCCATGTTATAAGGTGCCCATTTATCAATAGTGCTGTGCAAAACTACAGTAACAGAGACACGTCTGTTGGGTAGTGTTCAGCACCTAGGACAGGGTTGTTCTGTATGTTTGGATTGTGTTCAGCACCTATGACAGGATTGTTTTGCATTTATGTATGGAGAGTGTTCAGCATCAAGGATAAGAATATTTATTGTATTGATGAATAGTGGTCAGCACCAAGGACAGGGCTGTTTATTGTATTCATGGATAGTGTTCAGCAAAGGATAGGACTGTTAATTGTATTCATGGATAGAGCTCAGCAACAAGGAAAGGACTGTTCTGTATGTATGTTCTGCAGTATTCACTACCAAAGACAGGACTGTTCTGTGTGTATGGATAGTGTTCAATACTAACAACAGGTCCATTCTGTATTTATGGGTAGTTTTCAGCACCAAGGATAGGTCTGCTCTGATCAAATGAATGTACATACGTATGTGTTTGTGGCTAGTGTTTGGCACAAAAGACAGGTCTATTGCATATGTATCAATTTATCACTAAGGACAGGACTGCTCTATGTGTATAGAGAGTAGTTAGCACCAAGAGCAGGTCTGTGATGTATGCATGGATAGTTTTCAGCACCAAGGACAGGTAGGTTACAAATGCATTACTACAGATGCCTTACCCTCGTGATGTGTTCCCCTCTGTGCATTCGGATCCTTGTTCATCCTGGTCATGATGACCTTCCAGTTGGCGTTGACGTCATCAAACTCTGCCGACTCCCGCGGGAGCTGCTTTCTGATGTCCTCACCCAGGAAGATGTTCTGACAAGACAAATTTGCAATTTTTATGTCAACCAAAGGAAAACGTATTGTTTCTGCTCTGTTTCTTCTTTCTCTTCTTCTCCAAACAAATAAGGTCAATGACCTGAACCAGACGTCTGTCACCATGGTACCTAGTGATGGGTTACATCATGTTGCAATTTTATAGCAGGAGGGATTTGGACTCCAGTCACCATTAAACTCCTTGTAAACCATTAGACCATATACTGTTCACCCCAAACACTGTTATAAACAAACAGATGCTTATCAAATCATTATGGTTTATATATAGCAACACAAGATAACAAGAAAAGAATATTAACACACCTCTAGGTACATCCACTGCCTCTGTACAGTGAGGATCATCTCAATGACTTCCAGGATGTGAGACAGGGTCCTCTCCCACTTGTCCACCTGAGCCTCGAAGGGTTTGATGTAACGAGATGCTTTCATGGTGGACAGGGTCACCTGGTTATCCTCCAGCTGCTGGAACACCTCATCTGTACCCCTGTGGAAATAACACACTCAAATGTTTGCTATATTTTGTTAGAAAAAAATTTGCAGTTTGTAATTTTCTCATTAGAACAAATGATCACAGAAATTAATGTTGATGAAGCCTTTTGGGCATAAAGGAAAAGTCAGTACCCTTGATGAAAATAAACAGTCAAATATTTCTTACATTTTGTTTGAAAAATGTTGCATTTTGTCATATTCTTTTAAGAACTTAATAATTGGCACGAGACAAACTTTGGTAAGTAAAACTGACTTTGCAACTCTTTTTTCAAGGTTATCAAAAAATAGTAGTCAACAAGTAAATGTGAGAGGGAACTGTATATTAAGATTGTCATTCAAAATGGTCACATAGACTACATATTCTTCTGTCTATATTCTAATTCAGTCTCATGAATTTCTATTAAAGATTTTATTTTTTTAAGAAAAGAACGGAATGGTCTAGAAACTGAATAGTTTTATAACTGACTTGAGCCTGAAGTGTCCGCGATCCTTGTACGGTCCGATCTCCAGGTTTGTGTCCTCCCATAAGGAGGAGATTTCTGCCAATGCCTGCTCGATGGACAGTTCCTTACTGGCAGCCGCCGAGATCTCACTGATCTGTTCACTGAACTGGTCCAGCCCCAGCTCGATGATCTTCCCCAGGGTGAAGTCCTCTCCGAGGTGGTCGAACGGTTTCTGGACTTCCGTCTTGATCTGCGCCCAGTGGCGGTCGCGCATGGCGTCGTTCCTCAGGTCCTGGATGAGCGGCATGGTGCGGCGGAACTGGTCCACCCTCGCCTTGGACGTGTCTATAATCTCCCAGTTCTTCTCCTGTAGGACAAGAAGCGAAAAAGAGATGCTTGTTAGAATGTGGGAAAGGCTTGACAAAAGACTATCATATATCTGTATCAGCTCAGAAATAATTTACTGTGATTGCCAGATCATACAAAATATAATGATTACACCATACATGATATGCAAGCAAAAATAAATTTTCTGCTGAGTGTTAGAGAACACAATTTTTGTGTATCATTGATTAACCAAGGCCATGATATTTAAAGTACTAAATCAAATACCCACTTAAAAGCTATATCTACATGACTGTATATTATACTCAGTCTATCTTCCCTCAGATTTCCTGTTTTTCTATCCAATTTAAAATGCAGTAATCACACACAAGAGGCTAAAAGTTATATAGCTGACCAAAACACTTTGCAAAGAACTGACTTGCACAAAGTGGAGCCAATACCAAAAAAAAAAAGACTGTTAGAAAAACACTGAAGAAATCTTTACCTTGAGTTCTCTGCTGAGTCTGTTCAGCTTCTTGAACAGGTTGCCTGCGGTCATCTCCATGTCCGTGGTGACCAGCTCGTTAAACTTGCCCACCTTCCACTGGTCCCAGTTGCCCTCCCATTCCTTAGTCAGCTCCCACACTTGCTCTAGGAAGTCCAGATCCTACCATGATGGGAAGAATAGAGACAAAGGCCCGTGAATGGTTTCATCAGGTTGGTAAGTCACTTTTCTCATGGCAATTCTGACTGGTTCACATTACACTGCAGCACAGGAATGCATCTATAGCAGTGACACCTGTGCTGCAGTGCAATGTGAACCAGTCAGAATTGCCCTGAGGAAGGTGACAGGCGGTCACCGAAACATCGGCTGTGAAGAAAACAGTTGGTTGTGTAAAAAAGAGTCTCTCTACACAGAGATTGTAAAACTGCAGTATCACAGTTTTCCTAACTTTCAAAGCTTACCTTATCCAGCCCAGCGATCTCCTTAGAGGGTGGCTGTTCTATCTTAAAGATGCCCAGCCCCCTTCTAAGGTTGTTCTCCTGAAGCTTCAGCATGTTGAGACTCTGTCTGATGGCAGAGATCTGCTCCAGGGCTGGGTCACAACCAGCCTGAAATATGCAAGTATCAACTGTTACATGTAGTATTGATTCTTACAATTTTAAGCTGCCTTTCATAATTTTGTCATATTCCTTCATTCTTTCAAACAGCCAAACGCAGAACAATATTGTGACATTCTGCAATATTGCAGAACATTAAAAAAAATTATTTCTACCACTGAATACGTTAGCCATACCTGACTGCTGAATGGTCCCTTGGTTGAGAACTCGTCCACCAAGTTAGCCACTTGCTTCTTGAACTCTTCTGAGGAGGCGATGAGCCCAGACTTGAACTTGTCCTTGTGGCGTTTCAGCATGGCGTCGCTGTCAATCAGGCACTGCTGGAAGGACACCCAGGCATTGCTCAGGTCCTCCAGCTTCTGACGGGTCTGTGAGGGGGAAAATTGTTCAAGTTCAAGTGTTTAAAAATGTATTGATTGTGTTCAGCACAAAAACAGACCTGTTTTGGATGTATGGATAGTGTTCAGCACCAAGGACCGGATTGTTTTGCAGATATGTATGGAGTCAGAGCGTTTAGCTCCAAGGATAGGGCGCTGTTTATTGTATTTACATGTATTAATAGTATTCAGCACCAAGGATAGGACTGTCTATTTTATTTATGAATAGTGCACAGCATCAAGGACAGGACTGCTCTTAATGCTAATCAACAATAAAATGGAAATTATGACAGTGTTGACTTCTATGCTAACAGAAGGCAGACTCAAAATGTACATTATATTTACGATAAAGCAGCTGGTAAAAACACCGAGGTTGAAAAAAAAAATCATTTCATATACAGTTCCAACCAAGTCTTCAAATCGACCTTGTTAAAAAAAAATTTGACTGCCAAATATATCTTTTTTATATCATCATCACACCGCATCAATTGCAAGTTATTCAGTTTTTAGTTTTCCATTATTTATTTCTGTGTACAGATCCACATTGTTGAACTCATGTTACGTAGCATTTCATGTGCACAGAATATGATAAAGCATGAAGGTAAATAATGATTTAAACACCGTCAGATGCCCCCCCTGCACTTCTAATGGAATGGTCCCACTCACCTCGTCATCAATAGGCACGTCGTATTTCTCCAGGATGGCGAACTGGTCGTGGAGGGGTGGGAAGCGTGCCTCGATGTTGGGGACCTCGCCCTGCAGGTGCTCCAGCAGCTGTAGCCCGTCCCCAAGCTCATCCAGGGTCTGCGGGTGCTTGCTTACTCTGGAACAAAACACACATCATGTATCATGTAATGGTAGAAAATTCAAGCTCTGCTACTGGGTACATTATAGATTTTAAATTCCAGACATTTTGAGTGACATCCACCACTCTTCTTCAGTATCACTATGAGCATTGTTTATCTAGATGCCTAACTTGACTCAAGTAATTTTTGGGGTATACTTTTCTCCGTTTTCCTTGAGGTACATGTGATTTTGGCTGGCTTATTTTGACACTATTAGATCAGGGCACATTATTTTTGCCATTAAAGGCATCAACAACCCTTGGCTGGTACACTGCAAGTGTTTATCACTATCAAAAGATGAAGGTCTTTTCTTACTTCTCTCCATTTTCCTTTAGGTATGTGTGCAGCTCGTTCAGGGTGGCGCGTGCCATCTCGCTGAGCAGCGTGGTGAACTTGTTCTGCCACTCGTTGCAGTGGTTGAGCAGGGAGAACTTGAGCGGCGAGCAGTCCAGCAGGACAAACTGGATGTTCAGAACTGTCTCCTCCTTTTGTACGTTGTTGGCAACTTCTGTGTACCTGAAGAGGGCAAAGATGATAGTTTATAAAGATTGGCATATATATATATATATATACAAGGAGATTTGAATGGTAATCTTGTACTAAAAACAAATATCAGCTAGGTACCCAAAAAAAGTGCACAGTAAAAAATTCTAGCAAAACACTAATTTCTCAGTGAAAATAAATTTTTGGGCGCCTGCACAAAAGTGCATATTAATTATACACCCATTATTTTGAGCCCTGTACCCCCTTTAAAGGAGACTGTTGGAATACAGGACACCCAAAGCCCCTATCACAATACTCTCAAACCTCTAACTCATGACTGTTTGGGGAGGGAGGCTGAACAGTTAATATTTGGTGATCACTGGTAAAGAGACTGTGGGTGGAAAGCAGTTCAGCACCAAGGGCAGGAACCATAATCATAGTGCTTCTAGTAACCATTCCTTTGGTGGATTATTTTTAAATTAGCAATTCTCTGGAGACTTTGCATAGATTATCTTTTCCCTCATATTATGAGGTGTAAAATGTTTCTATAGATCTGTGTAAGGTACGTGATTACCTGGCAATGTCAGCGTCGAATGATGAGACAGGTGGGTTGAGTCGCTGGTATCTCCTGATGAAGGCATCCTTGTTGATCTCCCAGATCTCACGGTACCTACATGGGAACAGACGAAATAATGATCAGATGCATTCATAAAAATTATGATTTGTCAGTTATTTCTCTTAACCCAAATCATTCTTAGAGCCTGTTGACAACTTGGTAGAAAAGTTGTTTGAAAAAAACAACAACAAGCAGACACACTTTTAGCTATACCAAACACTTTCTTCAATACCTTCAGTCACCAATTTGAAAGTGGCAGTAATTTACTTAGCTTTCCAATCTGGGCTGAACTTACAAAACTAAATGTACAACTTGGCAAAGACAAAAAACAACACTCACCCGTCCCATGTCTGTAGGTACTGCTGCAGGTGTTGTGCGTTTGCCTGCATGCCAGAACTGATGCTGCCCTGGATCTTCTTGGTGTCATCATCTCTTTCAATGATCTGATATATGGGCTGTTGTGATACAGAAAACGTTGTTCATTACACTAATCATACTATCAATACCATACATTATGAGAATGTACTACTACATGTACTACTTAAAAAGGTAGCATTTTTAGGTTTCTGTAGTGTTCAATGTATAATGTCTGTGGATCTTAAGTTTTCAACATTACTTTAATGTACAAAGCATTCATTTTCATGTTGTTAATTCTTTCAAACTGATTTTATGTTTCACATACAACCCATACAACCCATAGGATCCTTCTTTGTTGTCTGTTTTCTGCTTAAAATGCTCTTTCACTGGCTGACTTTTACTGTTCCTGTCCATTACTTACAGTCCTTGAGGAATGACAGGACTTACATCTTTCTGTGACCTCCTCCTGGTCAGCACGTCTGGTAACCGCTTGATGATGGACACAGACTGGGACAGCTGGGTGCTCACGTTGTTCACGATGCTCGCAAGCTTCTTCAGAGTTGGCGAGAACTCAACCTAGAGAAAATGGCAAGCAAACAAGATTAAATTCACAGATTTTTAAAATGGTGTCCTTGGCTCCTATTCCAAATATGTCTGAGACTTCTAGTTTTACCTTTGAGGAAAGTGTCAGCAATTTTTTTTTAATATTTCATCATTTTTCAATATAAGCAGTTCTGGTAAATTGGTTACAGTTACAGTAAAATTGTGTCAAGTATACCTTTAGTTAACAGGCAATTATTATCACTTTATTTCATTCCATATAGTGCGATTATTGACTTGTATTGTGGCAATGGTGTGACTTACATACAGTTTCCGATAGCGAGAGGTCTGGTATGGAGGCAAACAGAAACAGTACAACATGCAACAGGCATTAGCATGCAAACATGCAGACAGATACAGAACATCACATTGATTGAAGCAGAAGTTAAATAGTGTTTACACCTTGGCATGTAAATACAAGTTAATTGTTCCATTGTGTCCATGACATATTAGGATTCTTGAATGATGGTAGAGGAAGATCTCACTCATTATCTTACTTACTACCAAACTTTGAAAATGAAACGGTAAAGGTTTCGTGATAACCTTTTTAATGTGTTGTACAGGCCAAGGGTTGTTAATCCACTGTGTCCTTTGCATGCTATTGAAAACTCATCCCCCTAGCCAAGAATCAAACCCGTGATCTCTAAACCAATAGGCCATCAAAATGTCTATTATAATATAATATTATGTTTTACATGTACAACAGATGGAACTAGCCTTACAAAGTACTGGCCTCTTTATTCTTTCTCAAACACATAACCGGTCCCTTGCTACATCATGTAATTCAACACCACAGTGTCTGCTACAACACCAGTTATCATGGTGACAGCCGTCTGGTCCAGGTCATAGACCTTATGAGTTTGTAACGGAAGAAGAAACTGAGCAAAAGCAATGTGTTTTCCTTCTGCAAAGGTAAACATAATAAAGAAATAGAGATTGACCTTGTCTCCCTCCAGAACGACCTTGACCCTGAAGAGCGGGTTGGGCGTGGTTTTTCCGTCTCCGTTGATGGCGCGTGAGAGTTCCTGTAGCGACCACTTCACGTTCAGACGGAAGGCCTCCTCCACCATACGGTCCATCTTCTCTGTGTACCGGTACCAGTGGTTCTGGACCTGTGGAGGGAAGGAAGATTTTAACAAGGTCCTTCCCACACAATAAGGTTTATAGGACGCCTGTTTCTGTTTAGCATGTTGCCCACGCATGTTGGCTGCACAGTACAGATGATGATACAAAAATAGCGGTCTAGTCCACTGGTATACTCAAACACATTCATAATATATATGGTACAGTAGTCTAAATCACTCCTGCTATAAAATTGCAACATGATGTAACCCAATACTAGTTACCATGGTGACAGACGTCTGGTTCAGGCCATTGACCTCATTGGTTTGGAGAAGAAGAAGCAGAGGAAACAGAGCAAAAACAAGATGTTCTCATTCGGTAAACATAAAAAAACTTACCTCTGCACCGTCAGTCCTGAACACCTCGTAAGTCTTCCTCATGATCTGTACGATCTCGTCGTGGATGGTCTGCAGCCGCTGCTGCTGGTTCCCGCGGTGCCGCACCTGGTCGTCCTCAAAGGCCAGGTCCTCGTACACCCGCTTCCCGTCGATCTTCACCAGCAGCATCTCGCTGATGCGCACACAGTTCCTGGAGATGGTCAGGTTGGCGGCCTTGTAGTCATCTACAATGGACTGGACCTGGTGGTGTGATCGGGAGGATTTCTAGTTAGCAAAAAGTCTTAATTTTATCTTTCCAGCTCTTATCAGGGTAAAATATCAAAACACTTGCAGCATCTCGCTGATGCGCACACAGTTCCTGGAGATGGTCAGGTTGGCTGCCTTGTAGTCATCTACAATGGACTGGACCTGGAGGTACAATTGGAAGGATTCTGAATTAGCAAAAAAATCTAATTTTTTTCAACACAATTAAGTGTTGCATAAAATACAGCCTAATAACTTTGTATCGGACCAATGATTTAGACTTGTATGATGTGCGAATAAGACTGTATCTGTATGAATAACAAAAAAGTAATACCATGAAATCTACAAGTATTCCAAACACTAACAAAATACACATGTAGAGTATTAAGTAAAAATTTTAAACAAAATAGAGTATCAAGCAGAAATTTAATTAATGTTTTAACGTTTAATCAGTTGTTTGCAAGCAAAGCTACAGAAATGACAGCGCTGACAGAAGTCAAGGTCACAATAAGATGATCTGACCTTGCCAGCATGTGTGCGACATTCCTGGACAAAGAAGTCAGAGATGCCCTTGGAGGCCCAGGTCAGCTTGGTCAGGCCAGGGTGGATCTTCTTGTCCAGGAACCGGATTCTCTCCCGGAACAACCCTCTCTCCTCAGTCGACAGGGCAGCGATGATTCTGGACATTAAAAGAACGTATGAATCATGAAAACATTGCAATCTAGTAGCATAAACAAGCACTTTTAGCCAGTAGATGATGATAAGGTACTAAAGTGCACGTGCTAGCTTAAAGGTACTAAGATACAAATGTACTAAGCAAGCCAAGAGCCAATACAGTGAGTAAGCAACTTTTTACTTATACTCATTCAGAAATGCTTTTTCAGCAAGCCACTTGCTTTGAAGTTTGATACTTTTGTACTTAATAGAAAAACCATTCATTTTTCAACAAGACTCCCGCATGGTATTCTAGAATGGGTTGAGCAAGCTACAAACTTACATTGTATGATACATGCAGCATACTGACCACTGCTTCCTATTTTCCCACTAAACGTAGTGGACATATCTAAGTCTATGCTGCCCTGTTATTACCTGTTATAGTCTCTGACGACCAGTAGTACATGTTCCCTCAGTCCCCGTAGATCTTCCTTCTTCATGTAGACTTCATGTGCGTAGTGGGGGATCTCAAACATCAGCTGCTCCCAATGGTGGATCTCATTAAACAGCTTCAGCAGGGACCTAACAAGAGAGAGAAACTCCTTTAGCAGTAGTTTACCAGATACCTTTGACCCAGTGTTGATGGCACACTTCAGAGAAGACACGTGACAAGTCTCACTGGGTCATTCTATTGAGGAAGACCAGAAGGATTGGTTGAAAGCTCTCGTGTTTGATGAAATATCAAGATGTAAGATTATCTTTTGGTCACGTAAATAATCAATGGGAAATTGATTGTGACAAATATAGAAACTACTGTCTTGTTATTCATCCAGTTTTTGGCCAATCCTGGTAACTCAATGTTTGGCCTGGTGTTCTCTGCCACTAATTCCCCTTATTCAGAAAGTTTTGGGCTCCTGGTCTTTCATTCTTCAAAAAGTGTGTAGCAAGTTCCCTTTTGTACTCTTCTTACTTTCTTTATGTCATCTTCATGTAAGTGTGCAATTTGGACCTTTCTACTACCACGTACTTTTAGGTACTACATAAAAAATACTGTGTATACCATTAATACATTATTGACACCACAAAAATATCCGCAGATAATTGAAGAAGGAAAAAAAAGTAAGTCTTTGCAACAACTTACTTGTCAAAGTTGATGTCGAGCATCCCCTGTTTCTCCTGACTGCGGCACATGAGAGGGATCTCCAGTCTCTTCCCCAGGTCCCTCTCCACGGTGCCCGTCCACTCGTTAAACATCTTCCTGATGAACTCATCCAGGGCCTGGGCCAACTGCTGGTACTGTGTGGTCGCCTCTGTACCTGAACCAGTCTTTGGGAGGAAGAAGGCCTTGCCCAGCGTCTGGTGGGTAGGAAGAGATGAAAGTAGGAAGACATTATTGATGTTTCTCTTCTGTACATTCTTGTAAGTTGTAATTTAATTTGTAAAAGAGTGTGTAAAAGAATGTGAACACAAGTGTGAGTGTGTTTTTAGCATCAAGGACAGATATATGTTTACCTTAGGTTTATGGGTATGGGGACATAAGGATGAGCTATCACATGGTCTTTGCAATCAAACTTCTAGTGTGTTAAAGAATGTGAAAGATATTGCAAGTGTGAGTGTGTTTTCAGCACCAAGGACAGATACAATAAATATATATATATGTTTACCTGTATGGGTATGGGGACATACATGTATGAATGAGCTAGTACATTGTACATGGTCTTTGCAATCAAATTTCTGTACCTAAAGTACATCTAACCCTCAGAAGACAGGGATGACAGACAATAAACCGGATAGTGAGTGAGCCAACTGTTCTCCTATAGCACTTTACATGTATAACTGACCTGCATGGGTGCGTCTATCCTCCTCTTGAGTGCCCGTGCCCAGTGCGAGGCCCCTGCGTACTTGGGGTGCATGGCCGGCAGCTCTACGGACTTGGCCTTGGACATCTCCTTCTTCACCAGGTTCAGCTCCTCATTAAACAGGCCCCAGATCTCCACCGTCTTCTTGTCAATCGTTCTGCGCACGGCCTGGAAAGATGAAAAAAAAAAGGAATTCATTCATAGCCATTTTTGTTTCTGGTCTAGCTCTGAGCAACTCAAAGATGGGTTTGAGTAGATGTATTTCATGTACTGCTGCTCAGCACCTATATTTCATACACTATCATAACATAATAAAAGGCCTAGGAATGGACAGAGTGACCTTGCCTTGAACAATAAGATCAACACAAAAAGCCATTTTATTTCATGTATGAATGAAAATGTACAATGTCTATAGAAAAGTTTTCAAACTACTGTACCAGACTGAGTTCAATTTTGATAGGTACTGTCAGTGTCTTCTGACGTTTACCCCTCTTTATAATTTTTCTGAAAAAAAAAACTCTTTCCTCAACCAAAAACTTCTCATCGACATTTTCTCAACAGACTTGGATAATTGATTAGACATAAACTGCTGTCCAGCTGTTATGAAGGACAGCGGTATTGACAAACCTCTCTGCTATTGAGATGAGCAAAGGCATCCAGCAGTTCCACACCAGCCTGGACTGTGGTGATGGTCTCAAAGGCAGAGGAGATGACGTTCTGCATCATGACTTCCAGATCCTTCACTCCAGCACGGAATCTGTAAGGAAATTTAGTATCATCGTGTAAAAATTTGGAAAATTGTAGCAAGCAAGCAAATGTGTCAAATCTGACCATTTTGAAAGTACAAAATGTTTTCACAAATTGTCAATGTCAGACAGTGCTAGAAGCAGCAATAGAAGATGCTAATTTATGAATCTTCTTCACTATACTTTTTTCAAGAAAAGTCTTGAAAAAAAAACTTTTTTCTTGAAAAGTCTTGAAAAAAAAAGTCATACGCTAAAATTCTGTGCCTGTTAATTTAGGCCAACTATACAAACTATAACAGTTGCTATTACTTAGATCTAAGACATTGCTATTTTTTGTTTTAGAATGTTGTAGTTGTGATTGCAAATGCTGCATACACAACACAATGTTTAAGATGATAAGCAAAAACTGCTGACTCACTTGTTGTAGTCATCGTGCCATGATGTTGCCTTGACATCCAGAATGGTCTTCTTGACGTCTTTTAGGATCTGCAGGTTTCTCTCAAATGAGGCCTCGATCTCTAGGAGACTGCGAGCAACCTCGGGTCCACGGTGTCCGGCGAAGTGCGGCAAGGGCGTTTTTGTGCCATCCTCCCATCGGGCAAAGTGCATCTGGCACTCACACACCTGAGGACAGATAAAAATCATGTTTAAAGTTAAAACTTTTGATCCAACACAAAGAAGTTCTCTCACCTACAGCTTTCAACCAGTCACTCTGGCTGACATCATCTACCAGATGGGAATACCAACACAGATGAACTTTCATGATAATACATATAAAATCATTTGAAATTAGGATTTTTGCAGCATAATGAAGTTAGATACAAAAAGTGTCTGAAATATGAAAACAAATTTCTGAAAGCATAATGCAAAGTTCCTAGAGGATATTTCATCACATTTTAATACATACCTCTAGCAGGTCCTTGCATCTCTGGACAAAGGCATCGACTTGTGCAAAGATACTTGTCTGGTCGAGTACCCAGCCTTGGGGACTGAACCTGTGATGGACTCTCGCAGTCTGGTACAAAGTAAAAGAAAAGAGAAAAGTGGTTACACACAAAAAATACCACTACTAGGCTAGCCAAAGGTTGATTGTATAAAATTCATCTCTGACAACAGTTAAACCATGGTGATGGGGGATACAGATTGAAGCAGTGTTCTGTTTTGGTCTCTATCAGGCAACATTACCTGTAGATCCTTCTACCACACAACTGCAGTTGCTTCTAAAAACTTGTGATATTTGATACTGTAAATCACTTCATATTTGTGGTACAGATGTACTTTTATATTCCCCATTTTTTGTGGTCACTTGTGTACCGCAAATTTAACACCACTGCGAACAAATTAATTTGCCAAATTTCTTCTGCACCTGTCATTGCACCCGCAAACATATAGTTCCATGAACATGTCCATTTTTCTCAGACTGCGAAATTTTTCTACCACAAATATAAAGTGGTTTACATTAATTTGCGAAATTTTTCTACCACAAATATAAAGTGGATTACAGTATCTTGAAGTTGTCTTACCCTTTGGTATGTCTCCTTCCATGAGATGCAGCACTGGATGCTCTCGTGTAGACTCTGCATGCTGGACTTGATGTAACCGTCAAAAATCCTCTCCAGGGAGATCTCTTTACAACATCTTCTGATGATCTCATTACTCATCTGTGGTGTTCATAAAAAAATTGAATCAACGTTTGCTGTGTAACAATTATATCCAATATAAAGTTTGAACTATTTTTAAAATGGTACAGAACCAGCTGTCCTTGGTACTGAAATGTCTTCAAAGTAACAAATGCTTTCAAATTGTGTGAAACTCTTGAGGCATTACTACAGAGTTGTGTGATGGTGCTTTCTTTCTAATAAAAACCTAGCCATACATGTACCTTGTGATTAGTATAAATATTGATTAACCTAACGAGAATTACTTAAAATCTGCATTGAATTATTTATAATTTGCTTGTCCACAGAAAACAAAACCTTTATATATCTATCCTATAACCTAACCTTTTTTCAATCAATTTTTCGATCTTAACATAATTGGACAACCATACTTAGACCAAGAAAAGCACCAAGTTGCCATGTATTATCCCCCCCAAAAATTAGAAAAATCGTGGAAAAAAAGCTAGAATTCCGACCTTTCTGAAGAGCCCTGTGAGTCGCTCGCGTGTGTTGTAGAACTCGGAGTTGGACCAGATCATGCGGATGATGCTGAGGATCTTGGGTAACATGGCAGGGATGTCCTTGGGAGATGCCTCGTCTAGCGCCTGGCACGGCTCTTTCAGGGACGACAGGAACTTCAGGTTACTCTGGGCCTGCGCTGAGCCGTCCTGAGGGGGGGGAGGAAAGATCACAAATAAGACATTATGATAACTTCTTAGGCACTGAACTAAACTTGGGTTACTGCAACAGCATCTCCTCTCCCTAAGTCGATCAGAAACATCAATGGTCAAGACATGCTCGACTCATGCTGAGGTCACATTTCCAAACAAGGCCTGGCCGGGCAGTCGTATGGAACAAAGAGTAGGATATAAAAGACAGCACAAAACGTTGAAACATTTAATAATGGGAACTATTTGCATATATTCTTGGTATAAATTGTTGATTTTTCGTTAATTCAAAACAGCCCGGCCGGGCCCGTTTGGAAATGTGACCTCTGCATCACTAAGAGTTAGCCCTAACTGACCCAATGGGAGAAGCAGGGGTTTTAAGAAGACCTGGGTGATCCTTAAAATAATTGCCATAATTGTGTGAAACTTACACAACATGCAAAGGGTGCATGTTACCCTGTGTACCTACCATGTGCTCAGGAAGAAATGTGTTATTATGTTATTAGATGTGAGAGAACATACTAGACCTTTAATATTTTCCTCGACCGAGCTGGTAGAGCATCAGCAGCTCATAGCAAAACTACCTTAAAGTTAACGATCTATATATATATATAAGCAAATTATAAGACATTAAAAAGTGCCTTATGCCTTTCTCCTTTCCAATTAGTAAGACAGAGTGAGAGGTCAGAGTTCCTTCATTCCACAGTGATGTGAAAACAGATATACTTTTTACTTACTACTTCAGAATCTCCAACCTATAACAAACAGGGCAAATTGATGTTAGGATGATGTAAAACTACATGGTATGGCATATATGAAATACTTACTAGACTATTTAAGATGATGTATACTAAAGAGATGTTGTGAATGGGGTTATATGTACAGATAACTACAGTGGCAAGCAATGCAGACCAGGAAGGATATTCTGTCAATTTATTTTTCAACATTTTCAGTAAGTACGGGCATGCATGAAAATTTTTCTCTCGTATCAATCATACTTTTCCCTGCACACTTTTTTCAAAATACATCTTAAAATCCTTTTTGAACCTCCTGGCAATTTTATCCATTGCCGCACATACCTGTACCTACTCCCAATAATTCTTCCTGGTCAATTGGTGTTAGGCAAATTACAAAAAAGCATTAGTCAACTATTCATATATGTTAAGAGAGTGATGACAATGTTTGGAACTACAGTGTGGTCATGGTGAAAAATTTTGGACATTGATACCACAGACTTTGGAACAAAAAAAGTTTAGTAAGAATGTTCAGCTTGGCACAACAAATGAGCATGGAAAACCACAAGATGTCATAATATGTTACACGCATCTGCAATAAATTACATGCTGGAGACTTCAATATCTATTCAGTTACTACACCTGTACCATCTGATACAGGTGCATGTCCAGAAGCACCTGGGACACCTGACAATCCCACTTACCTGGATCATCCTTGCCATCTTGAGGAAAGGTGCCACATAGGAAGACTTGGACAGCTCTAAGATCCTCTGTATTCTCTTGACCCCAGGTTTGTCGAGCTGTTCGCTCAAACCGGACAGGTCGTCACAGCGAGACTTCCAGAACTCAATCTCTTCCAGAGGACCAGCGTTGTCGGCAGTCTCTATTGCATCCTGGGAACTTAGGACCTCCTTGATCTGCCTTGTCCAGTGGATCATAGCAGCTGTGGATAAAACAGGGGGTGTCTTTAGTGGAAGTGATCTTGAACCAGTTTACGGTAGCTCACTAGTCTTCTACTGCTTGTGACAGGAGTGACAACAATATGTACCCAATAAGTACCCAGTACATACTGGGTCATATCTTTTCAACAATTAGCACTTTACACGACTGAAAATAAGTATTGTCTGTCCTGTATTTGTTTCAGAATCTCCTGTAGTATTGGTCAACCTACAACAGCTGAGATTTACTGTCCCAACCTCTTGGTCTAGAGGCAGGGTGACTAACCACTGGTCTCCATTCGATATTCTAGGTTTTAATTCAGAGCAAAGGATATTAGGACATTCAAGTAAACCTTGAAGGAAAGACATCCAAAGACTTACTCTCCAGCCTTGAGACTAGTTCCTTGTCCTTGGCGGCTACTTCCGGCGGAATGCTGGTACCCTCATTGGGGATGTACAGGACTGTGTGGCCCTCCATCTTGTACCGTGTGTCTGTCAGGTTGGCCAGGAACTTGTGAAGCTGAGCCGAGAAGTCATTTTTGATACCTGAGGGCTGGTTAAGGAAACTTGACATGGCATTTTTCAAGATCTCAGACCTTATGCTTTTTATGGTCTTTCATGGTAAGCAAAATGTTGACAAAAAGATATTTAGAATTTGAAGCTTGGATGATGCAAATAACTCAGCTACAGCCATGTTAGATATGAAATGTTATGCAACATTCTATGTAAGCTGGCATGAAGGCATCATACAGGAAAACACACAGCTTCTAACTGTCTTACATGGTGGAAAGTTTATGTAATGATTGTACAGTTATGACAAGGATACTGTCGGGCCATGACTTGTTCTCGAAGAAGATGGGTGCGTAGACACCAGTCATCAGCCTCAGCAGGCTCTCTATGTACTGGGACTTCACGGTTCCATACTGGACCCTCTTGTGGAAGTTTTCAGCTGTGATTTCTACACCCTCTGGCCTGGGTGAAGAAATAAACATGACGTGCATGATTGAAACCATCATGATTAGACCATACCTTGATTTGTTGGCTCTCAGAGTTTTACGAAAAGTGCTAAGCTCAAAAATGAGCATAAAAAGTCTGAAGACCAGGTTTATACCTTAAGCTTGTTGCACTTGGTTTTAAGGAGTAAAATTAATACAGGTTCAAGTTTTTCTCTATTTCCCTCTGTTTTTTCATGATGTCGTAGCTCTTGACAAATTTCATGATAATCATTAGATTAACTAATGAAAGTAGCTGGTATAGCTTTATAAGTTATGGCACATTTACAGCATCTATTTAACTTAATAAAATTAATAGTATGTATTATATGTACATGTGTAGTACAAAACACAGTAATGGAAAAAAATGTTTCCCATGAACCACCAAGTATCTACCTAATGAAGTATGTGAGTTCCTCTGGAGGGTGATGCGGTGTGGAATAGGCCACGTTCAGACCAGAGTGGGGGTCATGATACACCACCAACAGACGACTGGGACTCTCAGAGAACCATCTCTCAATAGTCCCATCATGCTCTTCTGTCCACATGTCAGCTTTCAAGGCACTAAGGATGACTCTGTCTTTGATCAGCTTTTTCTGAAATTTAAAAGTATTAAAGTCAAATCACAAACATTACACATAACGGTTACAAGACATTTCCCATGCTGTATTAGCTAGTCAGGAAGGAAAAATGGTAAGTTTGAACTTTCAGCATGCTAAAGTAGCCAACTGGCACCAGGTTTGTATTGATTGTGGGGTTAGGCAGCAGGGAGATGGTTAAAGGCAATCGTTTGAGCCAAGCAAACTATTTGTCAATATGTTAAAAACAATTCAATGTCATATTCAACCAAGATAGTAGATCATTGTAAGTATATTTTTGTAAAAGAAATACTTTTTTTCAATGTTCTGCAATATTGCAGATGAGTCAAAATGCAATTTGGAAACACTTAATAATGCAAACTTGCAGAATGCAGATGGGTATTTTGAACACTGCTGTTGCACAGCGCAATTACTAGGTAAGAGGAATGGGTGACACTGAATAAATAAATGAGAAAGAGAGACAGGAACTCTGACAGGTGGTTTTGAAAGGTGCCTCACCACGTCTACAGGTGGTTTAGCCACCTGCACATCTGTTGTCTCTCCATTCACCATGTCTCCATTCTGTACAACCAGCTCTCCATTTGTAGCGTTTTCTGGAAGAAAGGTATGTTGTGTGGTCAGCAATAACAAAAACTATCATAGGAAAAATGCCATGTTGGAGCAAAAATCTGAACAAGGGATTCATATAATCATATTGGAATTGTACTTTGCTAAGCATTTCTGTTTCACAATGTTGACTTTATTTATGGTTTATTTATGGCAAAGACCAAACTTTATTTCATAGGTGATGAATAACTTAATAATACCATATTTCATTAGGATATAGAAAATAGAACCAGGTATGATTAATGTGTCAGTGTGAATTTCAAATTCAAACTCCAGGAAGATACTACCTAAAATGTAATTCCATGACCTAAATCTTTAGCATGTGAATGCTATACAGTATGCATAGATCCAAAAAAATATTATATACAGTTGGTGCAAAAACAGGTTTGGTGTATAGTTTTTACTGGAAACAGAGAGTCTTAGAAAACGTGTGCATTAATCACCAGGTGATCCTGACGAATGCTTGTCGTCACCATTCTCCACAGGTTCCCCGTCTCCATTGGTCACACCATTGGCTCCTTCCTCTGGTATATCTCCTGCCTCATCTGCCATTGTTTAAATCTGATGAAAGAAAAAGATCAGTTTTTTGTGATACAAATTAGAGCATACTGGAGCATCAGTAGACATTGTCAAATTACGATACTAGTGCTTTACTTAGAATGAGGGGCTCCAACTTGTTTTCTGACACACGATGAAACAAGTTCGGTCAAAATTATGATAGATTGCTGAACTGCTAAATTAGCTAACTAACATTTGACTAAACTAATTTGATAATCCACGACCATTGTAGCTTGACTGATTGATACATTTTTTTTTTCACTTCTGTGGTCTGTAGGGCTTCAAACTCCTACTAAAAGCAGATATCTAGATTTGACCTAGTTCATAATGGGGAAGATCACTGAACAGACTTCAAAATAGTGTGATATTATTGATTTTGAGTGCTATTATAAACCAAAAAATTGCAATTTGCAATATGCATATATTGCCAACAACTATCAGACAACGTTTGGTATCGGATCAGCACGGAAACGTGACAAAATATAAGTGTGAATTAAGACCTGCGCCATCGCCATGAAATAAGAAACCGATTCAATTGTTCTCCATTGTAATAAATCAAGTAGGCATTGAATGGGGAGGGGGGTGATAGAGGATTCGACTAGAAAACTATTGGTCTACAACCACAATTCCAACGTTTCCAAAGATAATGACACACATTTCCGTGTCCTTGCGGTATAGCCATGAAAAGAAATCACAGCTTCGCGCTAAAACCTATGTCTGAAGCATGGAAACGTTTACTAATTGCCCTGGATTCAAGATGGCTGCCGTTGTAAACAATCAGAAAAAGAACCTCCATTCTCAAGCCTTTATCTACCATGACATACCTTTTATCCACAGGTAAGTGGACTCGTTGGGCAGATAAAATTGTAGAAAATCCTTCTTGTGTAGTTTCAGTCGACGGCGGAGTCAAAAAGACATAATTTCGGCCCGAATTTGAGAGAACGCTCGTCCTTAGCAACCGCCTTGACTCCCGTCCCGCGCGGAGAATTGTGGGTAATTGAAACTTTTAGGTCAAAGTTCACCTGCGTGGGCGTGGCATTTGTTCTTTTCGACCTGGCGGTCGTTCCAAATTCCGCCTTTTGTACATGGCAAATTATGATGATTATCGACTTTGATACTACAATGTAGTTGATTCCCCATGGACATGACATAATCTTCGACCTAGCGGTCGACCCAAGGGGTTTAAAAGGAGACCTCCTTGATCGCCCGTGCCACTTTCTTTTGCATTTTGTTACTGTCTACTATCTAAGATAATAATTTTTACCTGCATGCTAAGATCATAAACTGCTTTCTTGGACTTCTGAGGTGGAACCAGCAGTGCTTCACCATGGCTAGTCCTGAGGCTGGAAGGAAGAAGAAAATGGTAGATACCGATGTGGTGGTCATAGGAGCTGGAATAAGTGGTGAGGAATCTTGATTGTACCTGCATTACCTATCAACATATATAGTGTGAATGACATCCAGCAAGTAATGGTAATGCAGTAGATTTAGTGGCCATTGTCATTGGCTATCAAAACAAAAATTTGTCCCAGGTTATTGTTGTGGTCTTGAGAGAGTAGTGAATTATGTACTTGCAAAATAATGTAGACAATGTAAAATAGATGTACTTTATTCTCTTACATAACATTTAATATACTGGTATGTGACTGCTCAGGTCTGTGTGCTGCCAAGCTCCTCCATGAGTCAGGTCTGGATGTACGAGTTCTGGAGGCCAGGGACAGGGTTGGGGGAAGAACCTTCACTGCCAGGGTCAGTATAACAGGTGTTATTATTTTTGGGAATTTTACTTTAATTGCCATCATCAGTAGTTATAGTACCACTTAGATTTAATGAGAAAATACATATTGTTAAGTCATGTCAGCTCAATGTCAGAGGCCAATACTACTGTAATTGTGTGTTAGAATTTATCTACTATACACTAAGTCATGCAGTGGTTGAATAGACATCACTGGTTATGGGCTGAGGAAAGGGGCTGTTATACATGTAACATTATAGTTACAACACTGTTCTTCTATGGTTCAAATTAACATTCAGCCTGCTAAGGTGTTTGGTGTTGGTTGTGGTAAATACTAGCATGGAGAAGGTTCATCATCATCTTGTCGTGAGACTTTCACAGATGAGCTTAAGGGATTTTTTTATCCTTCAGGATCCCAGCTATGGGTATGTTGACTTGGGAGGTGCGTATGTGGGGCCTGGACAGGACAAAATACTGCGCCTGGTAAAAGAGTTTGACTTGAAACTCTACAAGATGGATGAAGAGGGGAAAACAGTGAGTTACATGAAGGTATGTGATAGTGCCCTAATTTGCTATCCCTCATTGCAGCTCCTGGATGTATGTTGGTCTTTAAGTCCCTGGAGAAACATTCAATTTGATTTTAAGGTCGATAAGGCTTTAAAAGCTACATAAGGTTGATTTAGATACCCAAGGCTTTGTATTATGTTCTTCAGGTTTAACCCATCAAAGCCCAAGGTTTTAATAGGCATTTGTCACAGTTTAATTGGAACAATCCATTATGAAATGATTTTCAATATCATTTTAAACATGTATAACACAAGAAAGTCAATACCAAAACTTTGTATCCATTCAGGGAGTGCAGCGAGCAGTCACCAACCCCAACGACCCCTCAGCTCTGTCAAACAACCCACTGGATCTTCTGGATTTAAACAGCTGTTTTCAAAAACTGGATGCTTTTGCAAAACAGGTTTGGATATGTTTCAACATTTTTGTTAGTACCGATTCAATAGTAATGATTTCGAATAGAACATTTTCTTGACCTTGAAAATTTTATGGATAAAAGAGTTGTTCAACATGTTTACAACTACACCGTATCATGTATATGTTCTATAAAGCTGTGATGTAAAAATTGATTTTGACTGATACTTTTGACAAAGATGAAACAAGGTCTTATTAGACACATTGTGAAAATTTGATGTTGTGATTGCATCAAAACCATTAACAGTCGGTCTTGAATGATACAAGCTTCCACCTGATGCTCCATGGAATGCACCGAGGGCAGCAGAATGGGACAGTATGACAGTCAAGGAGTTCATGGACAAGGAGTGCTGGACAAGGTAGGCATTTAATGGTTGAAAGTTGCTGTCTGTCCATAGATACAATATTCCCATGTACAGTTGTACTTACTTGTAATTCATTTGTCTGCTATTTTACATTTCTTTCTGTCAACAGTTATAGGAATTTAGTAGTATTAGACAACGTGCTGTAACAGTTAAATGTTCGCATTAGTTGTCTCTTTACTTGTCCTTTAAAATAATGATTGAAGGATTCTTTGATGTAACATTATAGCTTTGTAATTGTCTAAATTTCTTTTGACGCTCCTTCAAAAACAGCTTGGCCAGGAAGATGATGGGTTTGCTTACGGAGATCTTTTCTGGTTCTCAACCAGAAGAGATCTCTTTCCTGTTCTATCTGACTTCCCTGAATTCTGCCCAGGGCATTGATACTGCAATGAGTGGAGCACAGGTACAGAATACCTCAAGGATTTTCACATAATGTAACACTAGTGGTAAAACAAGCAATTTTATGCCAATCTTCTGACATTTTAGAATGAATATTAAAATTGATGATGTGTTTCTTATTAATGATTATGTGTTCTTATCAATTACAGGAGATGAAATTTGTGGGTGGTTCTATGCAAGTGAGTGAGAAGATTGCAGAGTTGCTTGGCAACAGAGTTGTTCTGTCCAGCCCTGTCATGAGGATAGAACAGCAGGAGGCAGTTGCCACGGTGACCACACACACTGGGCAGCAGTACAGAGTAGGTTATTGCTTGTCTTGATTGCAGCTTTTGTATTTGTGAAATATAACTACATATCAGAGCACAATTTTTTTTTTCTATTTCCTGTCATGCCCTGTCTGATTATGATGGTCACAGGTAGAATATTTAATAGAATTTTTAAGAAGTACATGTACAGTACCAGCTCAAATCAAATTTCCTGACATAGATTTACCTGTTTCATTTTTCAGGCTAAATATGTCATTAGTGCTGTACCACCATGCCTTCTGCACGGAATTTTATTTGAACCTTCGCTGCCAGCCTTGAAAATGCAGGTAGGCCTCTTGAATTTAAACAAATTGTTTTTTTTAGTATCAAAGTTCATCATTTTCTATGTAGGATACTTTTTTCTATATATCCTGTAATACTGACTATTATTGTACAATATGGAGTCAGCATATACTTTTAAATTAATGTTTAGCATAAGAAAATATCAGCTGAAAGTTTGTATACATGTATAACTCTATACTAGAGATAATAGAGATATCTTATTTGTCATCACCAGATGATACAGAGGATGCCAATGGGATCTATGATCAAGACGGTCACCTACTACGAAACAGCATTTTGGAAGGAGGAAGGTCCAGCAGCTTCAGTTTTATGACATTTTCCAAGAAATTGTTCTGTAACTGTTAATGTTACTTCAGATTACTATATTTCATAATCTCTATACATTTGAGCATGCTTTTATATGAAAGGTTTGGAGAGGTCTTTGAATTAATAATATGGGGACTTAAGCAGAATGATGACAAAACTAAGAGATTTTCACTTCTGAGGGGAAATAACACTAAAACACAGTCCTCTTGTCATCTCTAAAAAGGAACTGAGAGTGAAATCACCTTCAAATTTGTACTTCACAGGATTTTCCGGAACGGCACTGTCTGACAAGGGGCCTGTCAATGGTTGTATGGATGACACCAAACCAGATGGCTCCCATCCTGCCATTGTGGGTTTCATCTCATCCACACATGCCAGAGAACTTTGTGAGATGTCTCCTGAGCAAAGGTACCACCAGAGTAGTGATGAAGAAGAGCTTGACCTCATTCTTTTTCCTAATGAGTTATATGGTATGGAGAAAGGCAAATAACTCCAAATGTGTCAAAAGAATCTGATATAGATTATATTCAATCTACAGATGAAATATGTAGCCTGCTTTTGGTTTAAGTTGGCTTTCATATTTTCAGGAAGCAGGCAGTGTGTAAACACTATGCTGAAATCTTCCAGTGCCCGGAGTTCCTACATGTAAGTCCCAGTACAATTAGCTATTGCTAATTGTTCACTTCATGTATTTTTAAAGTGATAGTGCATGCATGACATACATGTGTTGCCTATCGCTGTAGGTGAGGTAAGCACCTTAAATTAAACAGAGTAGGGAAAAGGGGGAAAAGATTTTTATGTTGAGCAAACTATGAAGAATGTCTTCAGTATACATGTATGATAGATAAACTGAATTTAAGTCAAGAGTTCAGGCATGTGCATCACTTCACCTTCCTTCCCATTGATAAGAAGTCTCATGTCCCTTACATGTACAGAATGTACCTGCTGACATTTTGTGTTATCAGGCTGAATTGTCAATACAATAACTTTGTGTAATCTCCCTTCAGCCTGTGAACTATGTAGAACTGGACTGGTCAGCAGAAACCTTTTCTGGGGGCTATGGCGCCAACTTAGGACCAGGTGTGCTGACCAGCTATGGCAGGTACTGGTACTTTTGTTCTGTGTTTCTGTGCTAATATTGGATGAAGTACATATCAGTCAACAAAAACTGGATAGCTAGCATTAACAAATGATACAAACTTATGCACAACCAAATGATATAGAATGATGGACAACCTTTATTAAATGGCCTGTAGGAAGTACATCAAGTATTCATTTCATATATTCCCTACAGGGAGCTCCGCAAGCCATTTTGTCAGGTGTACTTTGCTGGTACAGAGACGGCTGTGAAGTGGAGTGGGTACATGGATGGGGCAGTAGAAGCTGGAGAGAGAGCTGCAAGACAGGTAAAACCATACATTACTTCTGAATCAGCATTTTAAGGAAAGTTCAATGCTATATATAAGTGTAATGCTATATATATAAATGTATATATAATACCAATTTCACTGTAACATGAGTGAAAGTGTAATCTTGAACTTGCAGGTTTTACACGCCATGGGGAAGATATCAGAAGACCAGATCTGGCAGGAGGAGCCCCCCAGTATTGACTTCCCGCTCACCCCCACTGAAGCCGATCCATTGGGGAAGATCCTGCCGTCCATCCCACAGCTCCTGTATTTCCTGCTGGCCTTTGTTGTGCTGCTGGTTGTGCTGGCTGCTGTTCTGCTTGGGGTCTATCTGTCGTAAAGAGTGTAAAGAGAGTACAGCTGCAGTATTGCAAGAGTACAGCAGTACATGTATTAGTTTTAGGCCTGAATGAGGCAACACTGAAATCTTACTTTTGAACACAGGGTAACACAAAAATGTTAACACCACATGTATATGTAAATGCACTATACAATTGATATGCATTGTATGTATAGAATATGTGCACTGGAAGTCCCCCTTAAGGCTCATTAGAGTCATTACGTCATTAAGGTACTCTCCAGTATAAAAGAAAGTGCAATGCTTTGTGTAAAGTTTTATTTTTATCTACGTATATTAAGCAGACTGGACTTAGTCCTAGCATGCAGCCAGACAAGATAATGATGATAATTCAGCAATGTAACGTAAATATTGACTTTATGCTTTAAGATGATCTGATGCTAGAAGAATCTACTAGATAGATTGTTTGAGATTGCATATCAATATAATGATTGGATTCAGCTTGTTTTTATCATATAGTGTCATGTACCTGACATTAAATGGTCAACCATTCCATGGCTATCAGCTATTCAACTAAATATATTGCTTAATATATATTTTGTAGGGTGACAGATTTATAATCATCAAGTTTGAAATCAAATTGCTGGTCAATCATGGACTTTGAAATTACATGGTTGTTTTGTACCATCAGTCTCCCTGATGTCTGACTCTTTCCTTGTGTGGTTTATTTCTGTTCCTTTTGATATTTTGTTGAGAACTTTTTCCAAAGTACAGACACTGCCAATGACACTTGCAGCCACATATATGCATTGTTGCATTACATGAACCTGTAAAGGATTTTACATGTACATCTCTCTTCCATTTTGACACTGGAGAGGGACTGTGACTCCAGCTATTGCCTAATTGTGTTCTGTATAGTTTCAGTATCGTTTCTTCAAAGTTAAAGCTTGTAACTATATTATATATAACAAAAGCTGCATGGTAAAGCAAAAATTAATTTTCATAAAATCTTCAATAAGCCTTCTGTACCCAATAAGCGCGTAGAAGACACGTCTGTTGATGTCACATTTTTTGAGCACGGCTGAGGGTAATGATTGTTTAATGTTAAAAAGATTAGTTAGGCCCAAATATATTGTGAGTACGCCCGTCCCTAGCAACCGCTCCGACGCGCAACTTTGTCCCGCGCGAAGAATTGTGGGTAGCTTAAACTTTTAAGGTCAAAGTTCATCCATGTGGGCGTGACGACAGCTGTACACTTTCAGGTAGAGCAAGGAGCCCAAATTCGTAAGTATTTTCGTACTTCTGAGGTGGAATCTGCTTCGCCATGGCTAGTCCTGAAGCTGGAAGGAAGAAGGAAGTGGTAGATGCCGATGTGGTGGTGATAGGGGCTGGAATAAGTGGTGAGTGATGGTTAAAAAGGACGGCGAGGTTCACGATCACTATTCAAAGTTCAAACGGTCCCTGAGAAGACCATAAGGTGAGACATATAAACCACGTTACATGTAATTTACGCGGCGGACCATGCGTTATACATGACCAAACGTGTTTTGTTTATGTCTCGAGGGGGGTCTTTCACCTTAGACATTGCTCAATCCTTAATAGTGATACTAAATAAAAGCTTGAAACATTATCAACGACTGTAACATAATTTTTACATCAATATCAGCTTCAAGGGTGTACCGTTATGTGGCCAATAACTTAACAGCTAAATTGGTCATGTTGAAACAGATAAATCTAAATCACAAAGTGACACAGCAAGTAAATATGTTCTATGTTACTTGTTGGATTATGGTTAGTCCACACATAATGAATTTATAGTACTTATTTGTTTCAACATCAAAACTATATTCAATGATCAGTGCTTCAGAAAGTTTACACCACCTTCCTATAAAGCAGATGTCCTACCTGACCGAATGACTCTACTAGTACTACTAAATACTGTACTCAGGTTTGTGTGCTGCCAAGCTCCTCCACGAGTCAGGTCTGGATGTACGAGTGCTGGAGGCCAGGGACAGGGTTGGGGGAAGGACCTTCACTGCCAGGGTGAGTGGAACAGGTGTTCATGTTCATGCCCAAAATTATAGTGATAGCAGATACTAGTACTACTAATAATTGTCAAGTGTTCATCTATGGTTCAAATTAATCTTCAATCTGTTGAAGTTAAGCCATTTGCATTGGCATCGATTGATCACAATGTATTTTTATGGAGTAACGCGGTAATGCAGCATGCAGAAGGTTACATTTTTTGTCATTCCTCCTTTTATTTCCTCAGGATCCCAGCTATGGGTATGTTGACCTGGGAGGTGCGTATGTGGGGCCCACACAGGACAGAATCCTGCGCCTGGCAAAAGAACTGGACTTGAAACTCTACAAGGTCAATGAAAAGGAGAAAACAGTGAATTACTGGGAGGTATGTCAAATGATACAATGCACACTGTAAAAGGATTGTCTACTAGATTTTAATGTTACAATTGAACTTATCTATAGCATGAAGAATAGATCTTGAGCAGGTGGAGTGGAAGATAATTTTGTTACAACTTTGGAAATTTGTTTAAGGTTAAAACTTTAGATCCAACACAAAAAAGTTCTCTCACCGAGAGCTTTTGACCAGTCACTCTGTTTTTCCTCAGTAGACTGACCCAGTGAGGCTTGTCACGCGGCTTCTTTGAAGTGTTACGTCAACACTGGGTCAAAGGCCAACATCTGTTAGACGATGTCGGCCCCCGTCGCAGTTAACTTTGGGTATTTGTTTGTATTTGGAACAATCTATGATGAGATGACGTTCATTTTCAGTCACAGTAGGATACATATACTTTCTAGTACTGTTTTAACACAAGAAACTTAATACCATTAAACTTTGTATCTGTTCAGGGAGTGCAGCGTGCAGTTACCAAACCCGACGACCCCTCAGCTCTGTCAAACAACCCGCTTAATCTTTTCGACCTGAACAGCTGCTTGCAGAAAATAGAGGATTTCTGTCAACAGGTTCGGACATGTTTTAGCATTTTTCTTTGAATGTTTAACAATGTCTTTATCAGAAAGAAATATAATTCAATTTGTTTAGAACTCTATCTTTATTTGAAGCTTCTCTAAAACTGAGATGTAAAAATAAATGGTTTTAAATGAATATTTTGACTAAGCTAAAACAGTGCCCTATCATAGCCCATCGTGCACAGTTTGATTATGTAGCTATATGTGTATTGATTTGAGTCAACTAATCATCAGTCTTTAATGATACAAGATACCCCCTGATGCTCCTTGGAATGCACCAAGAGCAGCAGAATGGGACAGTATGACAGTCAAGGAGTTCATGGACAAGGAGTGCTGGACAAGGTAGGCATTTAATGGTTGAAACTTTGGTGGTTGAAAGTTACCAGAAATTGAGTGCTGTCAAATGCTCCCATAACTTAATGTAATGATTAGGAAATTGAAACCACCTTACGATTTTGCGTTCATTTTTAAAAATTAAATCTCTTGTAATCTCTTCCAAATCCAGCTTAGCGAGGAAGATGGTGGGTTTGATTGTGGTGGCCATATACTGCTGTGAGCCCCAAGAGATCTCTTTCCTGTACTTCCTAACTTACCTGCATTCTGGTCAGGGACTCAGAAGAATGATCAGTATCACCAATGGAGCACAGGTACAGTATAGCCAGTAACCTAAGGATGTTCATATACAAGTTGTCTCATGCCCGTCGTTGACTTTTTGAAAAGAAATTGTAAAATTGAAATAATGGCTCTTGACAATTTTTTCTTCAATACAGGAGAGAAAATTTGTGGGTGGTTCTATGCAAGTGAGTGAGAAGATTGCGGAGTTGCTTGGCAACAGAGTTGTTCTGTCCAGCCCTGTCATGAGGATAGAACAGCAGGAGGCAGTTGTCATGGTGACCACACACACTGGGCAGCAGTACAGAGTAGGTTATGGGGTGTCTTGATTTCAGCCTCTTTTGCATTTGTGAAATATAACAGTTACTGTATATCTGAGCACAATTCTTTTACCTTTTTCTATTTCTTGTCATGTCCTGCCTCATAATATTAAATGATGGTCACTGTTGGAGAAATAGGAGTTTGAAACAGTATATTGCAGGTTCAAGGTCCCCTTTATTTTCCATCCCTCTGTTGCAAGTCTCTGTCATATATAACTGTCTCCGATTGATCCGAGCAGTTTTGCTGATATAGAATTTCCTGATTCATTTTTCAGGCCAAACATGTCATCAGTGCTGTGCCTTCACCCCTTCTGCACAGAATTCTATTTGAACCTCCACTGCCAGACTTGAAAATGCAGGTAGACTTCTTCTTCAATTATCAACAACTGAATTTTGAATTCTATATACTGTAGTAATTATTGCCTGATTTTGAGTATTGAGTCACTGTAGTCCAAGGTATAACATACCAGCTAAATGTTTGCTAAAAAAATTGGAAATACATTGTTTTCTAGTACTTGTATTAGTAAATGTATTTTTTTTGCCATTACCAGATGATACAGAGGATGCCAATGGGATCTATCATCAAGACAGTCACCTACTACGAAACAGCATTTTGGAAAGAGAAAGGTAATTACCAGTTTTAAGTATTGGTCATTTTTCAACAAATCATTTACTGTAAGAGTAATGTTACTTCAGATTTTATGTATGAAATATTTGTGGAATTTTTGCATAGTATTGAGACTAGAAAAAATGAACAAGCAAATTAAAGAGATTAATACTATTTGAGGGAAACATCAAAGTCATAATTATGACAATAGGAACAGCACATGTCACTGTGGAAAATGAACTGAGTGCAATCGCCTTTAAATTTGTGCATGACAGGTTTTTGTGGCTCAGCATTGTCTGACAAGGGGCCTGTCAATTACTGCATGGATGACACCAAACCAGATGGCTCCCATCCTGCCATCATGGGTTTCATCCTGTCCACACATGCCAGAGAGCTTTGTGAGATGTCCCCTGAGCAAAGGTACCACCAGTAGTGATAAAGAAGAGCCTGACCTCATTCTTTCTCCTTATGAGTTATATGGTATGGAGACAGGCAAATAACTCCAAACATGTCAAAAGAATCTGACATAGATATGCAGATACATCTAGATTCAAGTTTGTACTGAATAAGTCGTAAAATTTTAAAACTCTATTTTCAGGAAGCAGGCAGTGTGTAAACACTATGCTGAAGTCTTCCAGTGTCCAGAGTTCCTTCATGTAAGTCACAGTGCAACTATCACTAACTTAACAATGATAGGACATGATATACAATCTTTGTACATACGTCACATGTATTGTACATATGTTACATGTATTGCCTGGGTCACTGCATGCAGATGAGATTATGACCTTTTCGTTTAAGGAAACAATGATTTTGATGTTAAAACTTCACTGAATAATGGTCAAGAGTGCAGGCATTTGCATCACTTTAACTTCCTTCATATTGACAAGAAGGCATTGTATGAATTCCTTTCAGCCTGTGAACTATGTAGAGCAGAACTGGATGGCAGAAAGCTTTTCTGGGGGCTGCTATGTCGCCACCTTAGGACCAGGTGTGCTGACCAGCTTTGGAAGGTACCGGGAATACACATTTTGTACCCTTTGTTCTGTGTTGATAGAGCCCTATCTTTTGGGTGAAGTGCATTTTGTTCAAAGATTCTGCTACAATTAACAGTGTTTTATACTCCACAAATGATACAAGTATCAAGAATTAACATCGAGAGTTCATTCATTCACTACAGAGAGCTCCGCAAGCCGTTTTGTCAGATGTACTTTGCTGGTACAGAGACGGCTGTGAAGTGGAGTGGGTACATGGATGGGGCAGTAGAAGCTGGAGAGAGAGCTGCAAGACAGGTAAACCATGTACAATGTATTACTGCAGCCATTTAAAAGTTCAATGCTATTCTAACTGTGATATCTACTATATAATAGCAATTTCACTGTGACATGAGTCAAAGTGTAATCTTGAACTTGCAGGTTTTACACGCCATGGGGAAGATATCAGAAGACCAGATCTGGCAGGAGGAGCCCCCCAGTGTTGAAGTACCCCCCACCCCCGTTAGAGTCGATCCAATAGAGAAGATCCTGCCATCCATCCCACAGCTCCTGTATTTCCTGCTGGCATTTATTGTGCTGCTGGTTGCTGTTCTGTGTGTCTATCTGTTGTAGAGACAAAACAGCAGTATATAGATTCTTTCTATTGGTGAGGCAATACTGAAATCTTACTTCTTCAGGAGAGCATAAAAATTGAAATGTCACCCCAATATGTAAATAAAATAAACAACAGATGTGCACACGTCTTTCAGCAAGGACATTCTATGATATATAATCATGAAAGTGATGAAAGCTTCTTGCTTTCAGGTAATCTATAGTATAAAAGGAAGTATCATTGCGTGCGGGTTTATAATTTCTATCTAATAATAGTATGTATATCAAGCAGAGTGGACTAAGTCTCAGTATTACTGGGCAATCAGCTAGCCTGAGAAGATAATGAGGATAAGAATCTTGTGTACTACAAACCTGTGTACTTGACTTGTATGCTTGTAATTTTACTTGTAGTACTGTTACGCTATTCTCATATCTTTTATTTAAGATTTTACTTAGTACCCTGACTTTTAATATTTTATTCAATGTAATATACGTTTCGTGAATCAATGTAATTTTATTGATAGGTGTAGCAACGTAATTTTCCACATTTTAATGTTAATTAGCAAAGGTATTTCAGACACCACTTCATGTTGTACGTCTGCTATTTGCTGATAAAGTCATATCGAAAAAAAGAAACACAATGATGTTGTATCAAACAGCAAATAAATTATGAATGAAATTATTCAGCATATTTTTTATAATAGTCTCATGCAAAAGAGATAAAATGCCTCTGTCATGAAATGAAATATTTTTAAAATTGCCCCCAGGCAGGAGATATTAAATGCTTTGAAGCTAGGTAGGTTGTATTAAGAGGATAAATTACAAATAAATTGATACATCATATTTTTATAAGAATTTCATGAAAAGAGATGAAATGGTTACCCTCTAAGTCTATTACTGCTGTAACTGGCTTAATATGCATATGCTTCTTCTTCCCAATGACACCCACGATCATGTATGATGATCATTCCAGCATGTCGAGGGTATTCTGTTGGGTGTCAGTTCTGTTTGCATAATTAATGAGGATATGTTGAAATGAAGTATTGACAAAGGAGAGAAATTTTACTCGCAATATATTGTAATTTGAATTCAGAAAACCATAAATTAGAATAGATTATTGTAATTACGACCTTATTTCCATAGTCAATGAGACAAATAAAAAATATTTACAAAAACTCACATATATGTATTTTATGGAGGTATGAGATCTCCGAATTCTTGTGTAGTTTGTACCTACTCAAACGTCTTCGTTTTTTTTGTATTTGTGAGGTGCATTCTACTATAATTTTTACGGCGAAGAAGTAAGTCACCCTGGGATCCTTAACAATATAGATCCTCATAGGGCCGCGAAAACTGTGTTCTGACCATAGCCGAAAGACTCTCCGTTGGCAATATAGAAACCCAGGCAAAGTTAACATGTGAGCCGTTGTCCTGTTTGTTATTTACTGATGACCAGGGACAGTACATATACTTTATGACTGAAGCAAAGAAAAGTGCGAAAACGCTATGATATGCCGTCTCCATGACTCCCTGGCGGAGGCCTTCCCGCCTTAACGTTCAGCAAGGTCGCCAGAAGGGCGACGACACAGGCTACCAGGTACAGAACGAGAAAGATCCTGTCCACCACTATCGCTAACGTCTTCCAGTCGTTGTGGATGTTTTTTTCCGTATCCAACTTCTTCATGTACGCGGAGATTTCTTCAACCGCGCCTTTCATTTCCAGCAGGTATTCCACGTATGACTGACTCTCTCTGAGTGATCTAGCTGGCAAGTCAAGTCTCGATCTCCGTTCGGTACCAGAGTGTATGTCGCTCCCGTCTACCTCGCGGTTACCGTTGTTTTGCATGTGCTCGGGTGGGGCGTTGTACCGGTGCCAAAGCTCGTCCCCGTTGTGTCCGGACTGGTCGCCCATCAGCAGTGCTCTAGAGGCGTACTTGAGAAACACTTTCCGCGCCCATCCAGGCACCGGGCGGTTCTCCTGACCAGAGTCTCCCAAGGTGATGACGAACGAAGTGGCTAGCAGGGAGAGCGTCATGAGCGTCAGGGACACGATGATGAACCGACCTGTGAAGGAATAAAGAGAATAGATCCTGTAGACAGATCTTGTAGATACATCATGTTACATGTAAATAGAGATGTAGCACAGAAATGTTACACCTGTTTCTTCTAAACTTAGTGCATTTGGCTCACGTAGAGCGTGAATATGCAATAAAGTTCATTGTCATTGTCAATAAATGAATACGTCAATGATGTAGTGTAAAGTGTCTCAAGACTGTAGATAAAGGCAACGTTCTCAAAATCAAAAGATAGGGATATGTCATATAAGATGAGTTCATTTAGAATGTAGGCATTCTTCGGTCTTAAAAGTCCACGAAGTACTTCATTCTACACCTTATACTTATTCTTAGTTTTGCGTAATTTAGCATAATATCGTTGCATCAAATATGAGGTTGTTTCCACATCTATAAATCAGAACTACGTTTGTCCATACCTACTGCGGGGACGCTTTCTGACTGCGGCACCGCCTCCGCGACTAGCAGCTGGAACACCGTCAAGGACAGCAGCACCGACACGCCGAACGAGATCTTCTCCCCGCAGTCTGGCGGCAGGTAGAAGGTCGCCCCCACCACAAGGGCCAGCAGGGCGCGGGGCACCAGCATGTTGATGACGTAGAACGTGGGTCGGCGGGTCATGTGGATGACGAAGGTCACGTCCGGGTACGGAACACCGTTGTAGAAAACGTTGTTCCTCTTTGCGAACAATTTCGTGACATCCCACTCCACGTTTCTAGTAAAAATGGAGGTCAACATTTTCAGGTATATATCCTCAAGTCGAATCCTCCCACTTACAGCTGATTTGTAAATCACTGAAAGTCTGTACTGTATTGTGGGGTGTGACTCGTCAGTACGGTGCCATTTCGTTCAATGGGATTAACTTTTGGGACCCAAATGTGTAGACCCCTACCTTATAGCTCCGCAACATAGATGACTTTATATAGCTGCGCAACCAATACTTCTTTACTTCACTTGCGCATCACCCCTAAACTCCAAGCATGTCCTAATGTGACAAAAGACTATCAAATTGGCCAGGTAGTATCCATTGGCCAGATCTAGAAAAGGTCCAGCCCCTTGAATTTACTTGGAGATTACATCACCAATTCTTTTTAACTGGGGTGCTAAAGTAGGGGCGTCGCGTAGCTGAAGTTGGAGTGCAGGAATTTGTGCTTTGGGTCCTTCGTAACTTTAATAGAAGGACCATTTTTTGACGCATCGGACTTTTGTTACCACCATGAAAAATGGAGGTATTGTTTTAGGCGCGTCTGTCTGTGTGTGTGTATGTGTGTCTGTCTGTCTGTGTGTGCGTGTGTGTGTGTGTGTGTTTCCACACACTTGTAGTCAGCATAACTTCATAACGCCTTTATGGATTGTGATGACATTTGGTATGATGGTAAGTCTTGTGAAGACAAAGGTCAAGATCAAATATCGGGCCCCCTGGCGGATGATCTTGGTACTGCATCAGAACTTCCGGTTTTTTGTATCTTCAACGGTCCTGAACATGCTATGGTCTTGACTTTTTGGTGACAGATAGGTTTTCCTATAAGAAATAAGTGGGTTTGGTCCCCCTAGCAGCTTGTGATGTGGGGTGTGGGGAAGAGCAGGGTGGTCGTACGAGTGGGGTGTGGGGAAGAGCAGGGTGGTCTACGAGTGGGGGTGGTGGGGAAGAGCAGGGTGGTCTACGAGTGGGGTTTGGGGAAGAGCAGGGTGGTCTATGAGTGGGGTGTTGGGAAGAGCAGGGTGGTCTACGAGTGGGGTGTGGGGAAGAGCAGGGTGGTCTACGAGTGGGGTGTGGGGAAGAGCAGGGTGGTCTACGAG